GGAGTGTTAAAGGAGAGTGAGTGCACCTTGTGTTTGAGTGTCTTTCTGCTCATACCAGATTTCATGCCAAACTAGATGAGATCAATGATAACAGAAGATTAGGAATCAAGGAGTGAAAACAAAACGTGCCGCTACACATCAGCTACACAAACCAACAGCGCACATAGGATGTGTCCAATTGCAGCTATGTTTTTTTATGATGTTTCCATTGCATGTTCGCCTGAAGTTCTTGTGAAGTCTGACCCCGCTGACTACATGGGCGGTTCTAGGCAGGGGCCAACAGGGGCCAGTGCCCTGTAACACTGAGCTTGGTCCCCCCATGTGGCCACCCCTCCAAAAGGAAGAACCCCCTAGTATTTGACTCAACAATCTAGTATTAAATACTGTTACTGAAACAAATATAAATCATGGTATTATTTTATGATGTGTGCTTTTATTTGGCATAATATATATATTTTTTGAAAGCTTTTTCTATTTTTCACCCGGGTTTAATGTTCCACTCTGACAAAACAACTGGCCCCAGTTTGGCCCCCTCAGTAAAAGTGGTCTAGAACCGCCACTGGCTGACTTCCAGCTGTCATTGCGAGGGTGAGGCCTACAAAGTTCACCCAAAAGCTTGTTTGGCATATGAGCTTTTTTTTTCTTCAGAAAGTCACTGACTGCAACAGGAATGCACAACATCGCTGTGCATCATTGTGCGTGTTTGTCAGAACAAGTCAAATCTCAAGTTCAGAGAAAACGGTTGTTGTTGGGATCGTAAAGCAAGAGGAGAAAGTATTTTTCTTTAGAGAGTGTACCTGGCTTGAATCAGACTTTATGTTCTGTATGTTTCTTTCAAGTATTTATCTTTTTTGTGGGAACACATTCACAACAAACAAACACTAGACTTACCTGACGGACCCTTTTTTGTGTCCTCTGTGACCTCACACTTTATGTGGCAGATTTTAAGTACAGAACTTGAGTTTTTAAATATTATAATAATTTAACTCAAACCAATGTCCTTAATAACTAATGAAGTAGTTTTGTGCCAACAGATGTTACAATGAGATTTATTGTGATGGATGAGCGGTCTGATCAGGATATGATGTCCCTACAGGTTACAGGAGCTTTTGTTTGTGCAGACATGCTAATGCTAATCTGAAGCTTTGTCGTGTAACAGTGAACTGACACAGATCCGTCTTTCACTCTTTTTAATCCTGTATTCAAAAGTCGCACGCCCGTGTAGCCGTTTGAAAAGAAGAAACAGAAAAATGGAAGTGTCGTCACCTCAAAACACTGACATGTATAGTTTGAAATGTGTTTACTCTCCAGAGATTAGCAGGGTGGTGGACACACAATGAAAGGTTAGAAACAGACTTGAGTGTCTTCGAGCCTCAGGGTCCTTCAGAGAGCGACACAGGGATTTACTGGGATTTAGAAGTCAGCGTGTTAAACTGTGCCCTCTGTTCTCCTCACTCGGCCTAAAGGGATGACGGAGGATTTACAGTGAGTCGTATCGTAGTTGGCTGTATATAGAAAGCAACAGGAAATACACCTCATTTGAGATAATCCAGTCATGTACTGCTGATATAGTCTTCTATTTAAAGCGTCCTAATGAGTGTCACAAACGAAAGCTCAAAGGATTGTGTCCCTATTTTTGGAATATCTATGAACAGGATGATGGTTGACATGGATCTAAATGAGTTTACATGTGCTGCAAACTTATTGATATTGTACTCTCTATAAGTAATGTATGTGACAACGTTTATTTATCTTACATGTTCTGACACTTGATACCATGATTCTTTAAGAAAGCATCTCCAAACAGAACATATCCACCTCATTCAAATGAGGCTTACACGCTGTTCTAATGTAGCGCTGTGTTCAAGGCTTCACGTCGTATAAACACAGAGAATCTGACTAATAATTTCCTTTTCAAACGCTTTCATGTCAAACCGTAATTCTGGTGTAAAAAAAAATTTGGTTAAAGGCTTTATATGATTTTAGATAGAAATCAAGTATATCCTCTGAAAATATCTCTGTGAGTCATGACTGTCTACAATGGGTGTAACACCCGAGTCCCACTGTCTGTGATGTTTTCAGAGTTTCAGAGTCCTATCTTCAGTTTGTTTACATCGCCGGGACAGCCGGCTGACTCCTCCCCTCGTGTATAAAAGTTGTTTAATTGAGAGACTAGAGAAAAGAAGAATAACATACTGTACTCACTGCTTAACTGTGTTTCTAGATCACGCTCATTTCAGGTAAATTACATGCAGTGTGAAGATACCAGCATAATAAAGATCACTAGCATTAGCATGCTAACACAACAATGCAGCGCGAGTTGTTTTGGTTTCATGCTGGTGCTCAAGGGCGACATCTGCTGGATCAAAAAATCACATATAAAGCCTTTAAGCATTAGCTACGGTTGAGCGACAGCTAACACTGGAACAACCACTTCCTAGATTATGCTAACATTTCATATTTCAAGATTCAATAGTAAAAAAAATTGGTACTTATAACAAACTAAGGAAATACCGATACAGAGATGTGGTTGAAAGCTCGACAAATAGCTTCATAGCTTCTGGGTTATTTACATTTTTTTTTTAAATATGTTGTAATGTCCCTTCAGATTTTAACTACACACTGTCTTTTCAGTTGCTTCTTAATCAGAAAGCAATTCTTTAAGAATCCCATTCAGCTTCAAACTCTGAGTGGAGAATATAGCTGCCACGTTTATATTGTCAAATATCTTCACACTCAGCATTTCACCTGATTGATGACAGAACATGGCAGGTGCAGAAAAACAGTATGATAAAATGTACACATCTCCATGGCTCTGGTTTATACCACTAAATGTTTCAATACAAGAGGACAATGAAAAACACAAATCATCCTCTATCCAGAGATCCAACAACCCCCCCCCCCCAAAAGGAAACATGCCTTAAACTAAATCTAAATATTCACATGTCAGTCCTGAATGAATCAGCAGCGTGATACATTACAATGATTGTGCCAAAAACAAAGAAAGAAAGAATCTCAGAGCATTACATCCACAATACTCAGCATGAATATTCATATTCCACTGCGGCATGAATGTACCACGGAGTTTGTGCCAAGAAATAAATGAAGAAAAAATAGGCCCAGCCTGCAGAAGATAATCCAACGTTTTTAGCATTTAAATGTGGAACATAAATAGCAACAAAAAAAAATCTCTGTTATAGTCGCATGTCCTGCTTATTCAAGACATCCCACAATCATCTATCAACGCCTACAGGATCTATCTCTTTGTCAGTTTTTATTGTCAGACTCTGCTTTAGCACTTTGAATCTTTTCTTTCAGTAGTCCGCGTTTCAAATTATTCGACTGACTTTAGTTTTAGTTCCATTGTAAGCCATATTAAATCCCCCCCCCCCAATATGTGTATCACTATGTTCTCGTTATGACATCACATCAAAGAAACGTACACACATACACGCTCAAATATTCCTCCACAACTGTGTCATTTCCTTTCGTTTAGGATCAGTGTGTTCGTTTGGGGAGTGACCAATGAGCTTTGATTACACATCCCCCAGCTGTCTCTGAAAACTGATCCAGGCTCGTGCAGAGGGAACAGAGAGCACACACTCACCACAAAGAGCTGTCACCGTGCCAACAAGCCTCTCTTATTCCCCTATTTATTCTTTGTTCTTTTTCTTTCTCCCCCGCCTCTCTCGCCTTTGATGAAGGGACATGCCAGCGATATTTCAGGGGCTTAGTGGAGAAAGACAGCGTGGGTTTCATGTTGTCCCGTAGCTTTTTGTGTGAAGCGCAGGAGGCTGAAGTCACAGGTGTGATTGTGCTAAAACTGTTGGCTGCAAAAATCACGGCCGTCTCTAATCAGGCATTTTGGTAGATGCCACAGGATCACTAAGGGGAAACAATGGGTGCTCAATTCACAGCCAAGAGACTGGGCCAGGTTCTGTTATTTAATAAAGCGAGATGGCAAACTGTGATTTTTAAGAGTTATACATGCCATCCAAGAAATCTGATGGGAAGAGCGTTGAGTACAACAGTTCTTCTGTTCTGAATACTGGAAATTAACAAACTTCATGATCATTATAGAGAATCAATCCATCACACTTGCTACCAAAAGCAATTGTACGCTCACTATTATTTATCTATCTGTAACATAGTCTGCATTAAACATGGGGGTAGTCTCAGTGACATCACCAAACTGGCATTGTGAAGCCCAAAGACGGGCGTCGCCATATTGGAAATGGTGACTCCACTTAAACTTTTGGCTAATTCTGAAACAAGCAAAGAGCTGGAGTTGAGGTGGGCATTAAGCCTTCTGGCAAACAGCCACAATGAGCCCACCTGTCAGTCAGCTCAGCCGTGCAAAAACTCTTCAGAATAATCAAAACAAATGTGTTGTAAAATATTTGACCAATAAAGAAATGAGCTATAAAGAGCAAAACTGATTTCTACCAGGCCGTAAACATGTTTATTTCTGCTGTGAAAAGGGCATTTTGACATGAGGACTAATAAGGATTCATGGTTTTTGGAGACTGCCTCAGGTGGACAAGCGAGGAACTGCAGTTTGTTGCAGTTCTGCTTTGGCTTTAACACCAGAGGTTGCTGCTTGATTTGTTTAATGGATACAAATATAAAGATTAATGTTCAGAGTAGCTAGTCCAGCCTACCTTGTAAACATATGCAAAGTAGAAAAATGTAGGAAAAAAGGTTGGTTGCTTGGTAACCGTCTTGTTTCATTCAAGTCACAGAGGAAGTTGTACTAATAAATGTACTAATTTATTGTTTCATATTCATTTTTAGAACGACACGCTGCTTTTTAAACTTGTATTAAAGCAAAATAGAACAGCTTGTGCACTTATTCCAAAATTTCCGCAAGGCTGAGATTACCTTCAATGACTGACATTCAGTATAACAGCACTCCCCCCCTGGTTTGATATTTCGTATTACACAGGTCCGGGAAAAAGAACTTGTTCACAGAGTTTCTCCATTCTCCTTCAAACTTTCAGGAGTACTGAAGGACTATCTGCGTGAGCTGCCCTACCCGCTGATCACCAAGCCGCTGTACGAAGCCGTGTTGGAGTCCATGGCAATTAGGCCTCTGCGGATCGGAGCTTCGGGCTGCGAGAACGACCAGGCCGACTCTGAACACACGGTCAGCCTGCTGGACAACCTGCCGGACGTGGAGAGGGTGAGACATGCAAAGCGCACATCTTCTGATTCGTCTCTCAGACATCAGGGTTTTTGAAGGGGCTAACTGTTCTATAGATAAATATGATCGTTTGTTTTGGGACTCTTGCAGAACTGATGGTCATTATGATAACATTTTTCTTCTCTGTGTGTTTTTGTCCCACAGATGACACTGCGGCGGCTTCTCGACCACCTGAAGTTGGTAGCGTCTTACCAGGAAGTGAACAAGATGACGTGTCAGAACCTGGCGGTGTGTTTCGGCCCCGTGCTGCTCAGCCAGCGTCAGGAGGCGTCGTGCCACACCAACCGCGTCTTCATCGACTCCGAGGAGCTGGCCAGCGCGCTTCACTTCAAAAAACACATCGAGGTCCTGCACTACCTGCTGCAGCTCTGGCCAGGTGAGAGACAGTTTGAGTGATAACGATCATCAGGCCTGCCTTTAATCAATGTTTTTATTAACTTGAGGCTCATCTCAAGCTAAAACAGCAGCAACAACTACGGTCTTCTTCACTACGTCAACGCAAAACAAAACACACAGTAGAAACCCCCCCAACACTGAAAATTCCAAAAATATAAAAACAAAACAAAAAAGCTCAAGAAAGCAGAGATTAAGTATATTTTTATAATAATATAATACATTTCCTTCCACGACGTAATCACAAAAATAGTCTAGATCTAGATCCTCTAAAACAACTTGCAGCTAAAATAATATTAGTGTTAAAAAACTGACGCATTTGTTTTTGTTTTTTCTACCTGTCATATTGATTTTGTACATTTTTGTTTTGGGACTTTTCACATGTGCATAACACTCCTGGGACTGTATTCACAAAGCCTCCTAAGTACTTAAGAGTTGCTCTTAATGAAAGAAAATTCTTAGAGTCTGGACATCTTCTCAGAACTTCCCCCCAAAGTTAGGACTGGATTCTTGTAAAGATGAAAGTCATTCACAAAGCTTCTTCGCCCTCAAGAGAGCTCCTAAAGTGTCAAACTGTGAGGAGGACTTTTAAGAGGCTTAAGAGTTTCTCAAGCTGAGGAGAGAATGGAGAAATGTTCTGCAAACACTTCATGAAGAATATTCTTATTGAATCATAGTTGGACTGAACAGACGCCAATAACTTGTGCAGACATTTCAATCAGCACAAAGTGAGACGTGCATGTTGAGTTTCTGAGTGCTCACCTCCACAGGTGCATCCAATCACTAATTAAGGATCTTATCCTGCTGATACAACGATCAGCATGTTAAGAGGCTGCTGCTCGTGTGGGCATGGGATTGGAGCTGAGTGAACTGAATGTGTGAACCCAAATTTGAACCCAACTTTATCCAGATTTGTCCAGCTAGCTTCCTAATACAATTCCTGCAAGAAGTCGGGTTGGCGTTTAAATTGCTCAACCATTGAGCAACTCTGCTCACCAGTATGTTCTGTTCCACTCTTTAATTTACACTGTGAATATAACCATTTATTACACATAGCATTGATAAAGAGGTAATAACTGTCATCATAGCTTCAGATTCTATTGCTTTGTCCCTGATCTTGGACGTGTAAAAGAACAACCCAGGAGGGTTTTAGGAGCGGACTGTACTGACATTTCCTAGAAATCTTTCGAAATGCATGTGTGAAAAGGGCTTTCAAAACTGAGGTTATGAGTAATCTGTGATAAATGTGGTGTAAATATATAAAGCCTATAGCCCTTTATGTTGAGTGGCTTGTACAGATCAGTGCCAGCTCTGTGGTTCAGCTCTACAAAGTGCAGAAAGGGCGGGGCCGCTTTGATCCTTGAGGTTATCCGCCACTGGCACGACTTCAGCTCCGATAGCCACGGGCAACCATCTGTTGACTTCCTCAAAGATAAAAAAACTCTCCACAGACCGCTTCATCGTTAGACGCCGAACCAATCCCAGCTCAGGGAATAAACCCCAATGTAAACCAAACTTTCTTAAGATAAAAACACCGACCCAAGGACAGAGAGCAGACAGACAGCCAGCACCAGCTCCTCGCACCACGGGTCACCAGTCTGCCTGCACAGCTGCTCTGTGCCAGCTGCAGCTGTCTGCTCAGTGTGAGAGACGAGCGAGCCCACCGATTAATCAGCACTGAGGAAAAAGAGCCGCAGGGGGTAAAACTTGTATCAGTCACAGAGACTCATTTCATATCTTTAACCTTGGAGATTTGTTTTTTTTAACTTCTCTAATCAATCTGTGAAGAAGTCAGAGGTGCACTGACAGTCTCAGCCAAGAAAGACAAATTTGACAAACATTACAGATATAATGAGGAACGAAATTATTGATTTTTGGACTAAACTTTGATTTTATAATGCTTTGCATACAAATGTTCCAATACAGATACAAGTGTTGGGATCAGCCTCAGATACAGTCTGAAATGCAGTACTCTGTATCGACGAGTAAGCTGGTGATTCATCAAGATACCACAATTTACTAACCACTTCCATAAAAATCAACTGATTGCATGTAAATTATTGTGTCATAAAAGCTAACAATCAGTGTAGTGCCAGCTGAGAGTGTAACGTTCGTCAAAGCAAAAGTTTAAAAAAAAATCTGTGTTTTTTTAACAAAAGATGTCTTGATTTTTGTTGCAGATGTTTGCCAGGGTGCTTTATATAAGTCAACTCTAATAATCAGTATGCATGCCAAAATGTCCCTACACAAAACTCACATGCATCATCAAACATAAATAAAAAAAATCAACCCCTGAAAGATTCATTTGTGCAGAGATCTTCCCTGTATCTGTTAGTTTAACTCTTCAAATCTGCTGATTGTTGTCTGAAAAGGACTGACTCTGTGTCTAGTCTTGTCTTACATTGAACTGCATCCTGAACCAGTTTTGGGTAAACCGCTAAAGTGAAGCAGCCTTCACCCTCGACATGGACTTTAGGAAGACAAACAAACGGAGAGGAAACAAAAACAGCTGAATGAGTCTCGTTTGTCAATTCAATAATTGCAGGTAGCCAAGAGTTTAAGAGTGGAGTTTCAAAGATAAAGCAAAAAAAGTTAAGACAGAACACACATGCAGAGAGTGCAGGAAGGACGGTGGGGTCAAGTGGTCTGAAGAAAATGGTTTTAATCATTGGTTGTTGCCTGCACTTGTCCTGCACTCTTGCCTGCAGCTGATGTCACACACGGCTAGTGCCTATAATGACCTGTAATAACCTTGACAGAACCTCCCGTCCAGGTTCAAGCCTTTGTTTACACCCTCAATGACATCTCCATCGGCCCTGCGTCCCCCCGACTCAGAGCGAAGGAGGAATGGAATCGTAATTAGAGACATTCCATGTTTTTTAACCTTAGCCCTCAGCCCCTAAAGCTTCACCTTAAAATTTCACAATCATTACTGAATACTTTCAGCCGCCCTCTTCACGCCCTTAACGCACACATACCTGAGCCTCCGGGGCATCGTTGCTCAAGCCTGAAAGTGTGCACGTCTTCGGGCGATGGGCGGAGTGAGGAAGCATGAGCATATGTGTGTTGTAGACGCTGGGGAGAGGGGGGGGGGGGTGTGTTAAGTGTGAATTATGTATTTTGCCAAGAGTCTGTGTGAGCAGATGGTTAGACAGACAGGAAGGAGAGGAGAATGTGGGTGCATGTTGTGTCTGGGCACGTGTGTTTGTATCTTGTATTGAGTGCAGGGATAACAGTTCATCATCCGACAGCTTTACTGTGTTCAAGAAAAATCAGCGCTTTACTCGTTTGTGTCAAAACGCTGCAGTGTTTGTGTCTTTATGTCCTCTGCTGACAGCTAATGACTTAATCATACCATCAGTGACTCATGTCTGAGATGTAAATAACACGTTGCCTCTGAAACGGGGAGATAATTTCAGTTTGTTTTTTGGTGATAATAGCGTGTGTAGTGTGTGTAGCCTCGGCAGAGCATCAATCCAGCATCAGCAGCAGCTTCCAGGCAAGGTGGTTCATTATTTCACGATTATTTTTTCCTTTAACGGCACGATGTAACTTGTAATTACGTTGAATAAAACTTGATCCACAGTGCGCACTCTGAGCAATTCCCTTTTGAACTACTTTCTACTCAGACCAATCTCCCACCCCTCGTCTACTCTCTTGGCCTTCTTTCCGTCCCCCGCTCGAATAAAAAAAAAACGAAAAAGGTGATCGTGCCGTCGCTGTTTTAGCCCCCACTCTTTTGGAATCGACTCCCACTCACCTTCAGATCAGCAGAATCTTTGGACACTTTCAAGAAGCATTTAAAAAGCCCACCTGTACAGACGAGCCTTCATGTAAACCCAAAACACCCTTTCTTGTGCCTACTCTTTTTGTGTGTGTGTGTGTTTGTGCATATATGTTTGCCTTGTGCGACTTTGTGATTTATTTCTGCACATTTGCCTCACTGTATGAATTTTTTGATTGCTTTTATCTGTGAAGCACTTTGTAACCGTGTGTTTAAAAAGTGCTATATAAATAAAGTCTTACTGACTTATAATCCAGGTGGAGGAAAAATCGAGAGAGACGTATAAAAGAGAGACTTCTTCCATGAAATCACCCTTAAACCATCATTGTATTGTTGTTGTTATTTCCAAATACAGAAAGATCTTCATGTACCTCTGGCTGTTACCTGGCACACATGAGACTGTGACCAATCTTATTTTCCAAGCTCTTGGCATGGAAGTGAACAAGTGTATTTTTCATAATGTCGACCAATTCCTAAAGGATATAAGATCAAGACCTAAAATAACTCTGCCTTTCTTGTGTCTCTCTCCTCTCTTCTTCTTTAGTCATAGACCCCTACAGTCAGTCCTCGTCCCAGCCTCCTGCACCCTCCTCCGACCTGCAGTCAGCGCCTCCATTGCGTCGGAGAAAGGAGCGCCCCCAGGTCCTGAACCTCTCTGAAGCGGAGATGGCCGGCGTCCTGCGTCCCAAACCGGGGCGCCTGGACAGCCCGAGCAACCGCTACGCCGGCGACTGGAGCGGTTGCGGAGAGCGCTACTTCCCGTCTGACCTGCTGCCTCCTCTGAGCAAAGAAGAGGCGGACTATGACGACGTGCCCTCCGAGGACACGGCTGAGGAGGGGCAGGTGAAGGCCGAGGACGCAGAAGAAGATGGAGAGCAACATTTTACAAGCCCTGAGTGTGATGATCCCTCTGAGCTGGAGAAACCTCAGAAAGAGGAGGTGGTGAATGAGGAGGAAGAGGAGAGAGAAGAAGAGGAGGAGAAAGAAGAAGAGAGTGATAGTTCAGGCAATGGGCAGATGTTCGAGGACAAGGAGGAGGAGAAGGTTTGTGAACACATCCTTCACCCTCGTCTGCCCAAAGAGCATACGTACCAGGCCTACATGAAGATCCAGGACATCAGCCCCGTGCTGAGCAACCGGGTCAACCTGAGAGACCTGCAGGAGAGCATCGACACTCTGATCGGAAACCTGGAGAGAGAGCTCAACAAGAACAAGCTGAACGTCGGATACTGAGACGTTCTTTACCGGTAAAGGTGCTTCAGGATACGGCTGCAGTGTTTCCGTTGAGATATCGTGCTGTCACCATGGCAGCATGCTTCAGTGCTGCTGTTAAAATCTAAAGGACGAGATGTAAAGAGACGTATGGGGGGGGGGCACTTCTGACATTAGTACCTTATCCACTGACATTCCATAACATTTTTTTTATTTTCTTTACATTTTGTTGACTGTCTAACTTTATGTTGTCGTCGTCGCAGTCCTGGTTCTGTGTTCCATGTTGTTGCTTCTCTTCTTATTAGAAGAACCCATTGACCCCTCAGGGGTTTAAAAGGTGCCTTAATTGTGTGAAGGTGGTTCGTCAGAGGAAAATCCACCCTTAAATAAAATGTATCCCCTCATAAGATCGTTTAAATGATAGATATATGAAAAGTTACAATTCACTAAAGGTACTATGGGGCTTTTAAACTGTGACACTGATGCCAGCCAACATTCCAGTGTTTCCAGAGTTTCCCCCCAAAAAGTGTTTTCTTGGAAGGATGATGACGCAGCGTTTAGGAAAAATCTTGAATGGAGCAGGACATTTCATATTTAATCATTGGTTTCCAGACAAATACAATCATTCAATTGATGTAAAAGCAGTCTTGTCTTTTAGATGACGCTGTAACATCGAGTATTGTAAGTTCGAATAGTTCAAACCAGGATCATAAAAGAGTAACGTGTATATTCTCTTTGAGGGTGGATTTCCTTCTTTCTTTTTTTTTTTACGGCAGCAGAGAGCTTTTTCTATTGAGGTATGAAACACTAAATGTTGTTCAACAATAATGCACTTAAAAGGCAGGCAGTAGAGTAGATTGTCATTTTAGCTCATACATTTAAAAAGATTTGACTGAGTTGACGGAGAAACCTCTGAAACCTCTCTGAACATTAAATTCTAAAGGAAAGGGATTAGTGAGTACTCGTTTGTCATATTTGGGGAAATGTGCTTTTCTTTTCTGAGATCGAGATGAAAAGATGAATACCGCTCTCAGTCATGTTTGCTAAATACAAAAATTGAAGCAAGAGGGTTTTTGGAAATTGAAACTGAAGCCAATGCGAAGGAGCAAATACTGCAGTTCCTCAAGAGGCCACTAGAGGCTGTTTCCTAGAAGTGAGTCAATCCCCATAGACCCCCATGTTAAAAAGTCTTACCTTTACTGCAGGATGTTGTTTACAGCCTGGTACAAAAATGTAGTTGTAAAGACCCAAAAGTTTGTTTTGTGTTTGTACCAGGCTGTATTTGTTTCCGTGGATTGAGACGCCTTCACAGCCGACCTCAAGTGACCTCGAGGATCTGAAGTTTTTTGATTTTCTTGTTGGCTTCATTTTGTCTGTTGTGAACAATAAATAGCTAAGCTAACGTAAGGCTGGTTTATGTCTTCTCACCAGCTCTCTTATCTCTACAGAAGTACATTTTCCCAAGATGTCAAACAATTCCTTTAAAAAAAAACCATCAACCAGTCACCTTTCTGCTTCTCACAGCTTCTTTATTATTTTTATTTTTTGGTATAACAGTGAAATACTCACAATGTGAAGCACAATTTACAGAGAAGCAGTGGAAACTGTTAGCAAAGGGTACGACTAAGCTAGCTGCCTAAATCGACAAAGGACGTTTTCAGCAATCCAGGGATTCAGAATGATCAGTATTTAACCTATATATGTATATAATTATATAAATGTATTCGGAGTATATTATTTTTTACAGCTTCTATTTCAATGGCGTATTTAAATACTTCTGATGACCTCTTAGTGTTGTAGCAATAGTTGCTTTCCCCTTCCCTTCGAGCTACCTGTACACATGTTTATGTGCTGGACTAATGGTACAACTTTAGCTGTAAAATATATGAAAAAAAAATTGTGCTCTTGCAGAAAAAAGTGATATTGTTATTTTTATTGTATTGTGTATATATTTGACATCGTGTCGTGTCTCTGGTGGACTAAGCTGTATTCATGATGTTGTTGTTTTTTTTTAAAAAGGTACCGAACGTTGCATGGTCAAAAGCTTTACTGATGTGAACAAGGCTCCTTCTCACCTGCCTTTGTATTTGATATTTATGTGTAAAAAGACTTATTTTGGTATGTGTGCTCATTTGCCCTTCACACTGTTCCCTCATTAGACTGATGACTGCATGTTTAATACATTATCAACTTTTTCTCCAGAGGACTTAGAGGCGGGTTGTCGTTGTTTTTTGTGTGTTTGGTGATCAAAAAAAACCACACCTGACAGAAGCTCTTCCAAATTGTATGTAAAAATAAAGAATATCCACATTCGTCTTAGCATATGACCATGTCATTCAAATGCCAAAATCTCCATATCGAACTGTTGCCAAGTCTTATCTTAGAAAAAGGATGGTCTTTAAGCAAAAATTTAAAAAAGGATATTTGCATACCTGCATTATCAACAGCATGTTTCAAGAATTAAAGATGTGTATTTAAAAAGAAATTAAAAAAACAAGAGAAACTGACCTAACCATTAAGTGAACTGAGGTGAGGAATCTAACGTTCAAACATTTCATTGGGCTTAAAAAGGATTCACCCTGTAAACCTTTTTGTGTTTAGTTGGCCTTTATATTTTTTATATTTTTCCATTTATTTTCCCTCCTATGTGGTACTGTCACTTTAAGACGGTCCGGTGAAAGTGATTTCCAGCAGGGTTCCTTATGAACCATCTGGTAGCCAGGGTGACACACACACACACACACACACACACACACACAAACACACAAAAAAACAGGGCCTTTTTTCCAGAATAGACACCAACATCAAGTTTATAGCATGTCGAGTGACCAGTGAACCTCTCCGTCAGAGAATATTACACCTGCAGCTATCTTCTGTTTGTCCTCTATTTCCTCTGGAGAAAAAACCTCACATGAAAAGCTAAGACAAAACAGAACATTGCTTTGTATTGATCCTGAGTAATTGTATGGTCATAATAAAGTATATTATTTTACATTCAATTGTGGACTGTGCTGCTTTTTTTTGGACAGATTTAAAAATTGGTCATTGAATTCTGATTTTCTGCCGTCTGAACTTCCATGTCAGAGATATTTCCTTATTTTACAGTAAATACACTTTAACGCCTCAACAAGGTTTTAGTTCAATAATCATCTTAAGACTGGCAACAAATCGTTCCAGTCATTCTAAATTACCAAAGGGTTGGTATAGACAGGAATAGTCCAAAACCCCTTTTGATGCCTCAATAAAATCAGAACATGAAACCATGCAACCAAGTTCTAAGCTGCTTGGCTGCATGGCTAGTTCAAACATCTAACCCGTGAGGAACCTGGTCCCTCTTAATTAACAGACATCTGGAAGGACAAGATTTAGGAGACATTTTTAGTACAGAAGAAGAAGATGAAGATATCCTTAATTAATCCCTCTAGGGGAAATTCATGTGTACACTCTGTAGCTGATTCATGTTACACACAAAGGCTGAAATACACACAAACAGGATCCTTTGGACTAATGGAGAGATGTCAGAGAGTGAGGGGCTGCACATAAGACAGCGCTCGAACAGTTGGGGGTTCAGTGCCTTGCTCAAGGACACATTTGCTCAGGAAAAGAACTGGCACCTCTCCAGCTAGATCATTCCCAAATTTGGGGACTCAAACTGGTAGCCCTCAAGTTCCCAACACATAAATTGCTACAGATTGAACCACTGCTGCCCAACTGTCCAGTCCTGATCTGATAGTGGACTTATAACACTGCACACCATCACCATGTTACAAGCTCATTAAACCCACCCAATATAACACAGACGGTTGAGATTGGCCAATCAGGTTGTTTTAGATGGTGGGAACCAATTGGCAAGAGAACATTAATCATAATCATCACTTTTTTTTCTCTTGTGGTTTGAATGACCAGAACAACCCCAAATTAGTAAATCATTAGAACTCACTCAACCTAAATCACTGCAACAGGATTTAACAGATCTGACTTTGCAGTGGACTAAACAAAGGTAGTACATGTCAGTGCTAAACAATGACAAGGTGTTTGCATGACAGTCAGAATTGTATGTTTTTAATTCCCAAGCCAAGTCAACATCTTTTAACTTCTGCAAACACAAACCTGCAGTCCATTCATAAAAGGCTTTGTGATGACACAACATATTCAAGCGGTTTGCTCAGTTTACAGTATCGGGTCATGATTATGTTAAATTGAGGAAACCGGACTGTGTTTTTTTTTTGTCTGCTGATTCTTTGCTTTGTTTTGCAAGCACTGAGAGAGCAGATAAATAACACAGGGAATTGCCCTTGTTGGCTTGTGGGAATCTCCCAGAACGACTTCCAGCTTCAGGGACATTCCCAGGACACAGCTGCATTTAGCCGTCCAGTAAAAAAAAAGGCTGCACTTTCACTGTGACTCCGAAAAACCAACATAACCGGGAGCACTAGTGAGATGTGTACAATTAACCTCAACTTGGAACAACGTGTACCACAGGTGGAGACCAAAATAGAAAAGCAGAAACAGTTAAATTTCGCTCTAACATGAAGTGTTTCTTTCCCCAAATGAGACGCTGCCCCAGCTGAGGTGATACACATCTCTGGCAGTTAGCACGGGGGGAGTCAGAGCAGCCGCGGGCCTGTCAGCACTAAATGGTTTTTTAAGCCTCATTTGATGTCACTACTGTGGGTTCAGATCATGTTTTTTATGGCTGCCTTGGAACAAGTATGAGAAAGCTTTAGGGTACAGAATGTACACATACCTGCCTGAGCCCTGCAGACATGGTTTATTCCCCCCAATGAAGTCGAAGGGAAAAAAATCTACCTGCAGTAAACCACATTAAGATTCAGACTTTAGTGGAGATGGAGCCAAATATTTCACTGACAGTTTAAAAGTACGACTTAATGAGAATAATGCTCCTTTATGTCTGGAGTTATGTTTGGGTCTTTTACGATGGAAAACGAGTAAATGAACTCGTGATATTATTTCTTAGATTCTAAATTCCAGCTTTTAACTTCTTGAAAAAACACCTTTTAAATATAGACCCATGTGTTGACTCTGAACATTACAAGAGTCTATTTTAAAAAGCTCCTCATCCGTGTTTGACTTTCAAAGCAGCTTTTTAAGTCCCAATAAAAGCAGGAATGAAACCCCATATGCAGACAGATGTAGACATAATAACACGGAGCCTTGTTTGAATAGTCAGGGTCGCCACTCGATATCAGCCTGTCTGTCGTAGTGAACTCGACTGAACTTTTGCTCATTTCTAAATTTGGGAGGGAAGAGATCTTTAGGTAAACATCCTTGACAGCCACCTGCATGTGAAACCAGACCTTTTCTTCTCTCCTCTGTTCCCTTAATCTCTGCTGACCTTTGAGTCCGCCACACAAACACATGGTCTCTGTTTCAGACCTTTTTCTGGAGTGGTTTTAACCGTGACAATACTGAGTTAAAGGTCTTGGGGGGGGGGGATTGCATAACTTGATGAGTGATAAGACATTTAAAATCCGCCATCTGAAATTGAAGTAGACTGTTGTTGAAATTCAATTAAGCTTTTATTTTGTTGAAACAAGAATATCACTGACCAGCAGCAATAATCACATCCAGTTGAAATAAATCATTTGCTAGAAAGCGATACAAAATCCAAAAGCAAGTTTTTTTCTTTTAATATTTTACACTTTGCATTGACTAAACACATTTTAGTCTAAGAAAGTTTTCAACAAGAGATGGGTCAAATGTGCTCTCTCAGCTCCAGATTGAATAAGAATAGGTATCTGCCAAAGACAAAACCAGGAGGCTTTGGTGCTGAACTGCGTTGGTTCAGAAAACACACAATTCTAATTTATTTACACAAAAGCCCATTTGAGGGACCAATGTTGCAATTTAGCATCCATCCAAATGTTATGATACTTGCCTTGGATTGCTGTTTTCAGCTCATTGATGCATATAGTATCTGTCCCTATCAAATAAATCATAAAATAAAATAAAAATAAATAAGAAAATTGGCGCTGAAAATGGCGTTAATGGACACAGGCCTTTAATTATAAGCTCAATGTATGTCACCATAAACCATACAACCATACAATTCATGTGTATCCTACACTGTGAAACAATCATTTGAGCAAGGGAGTGGTCAAACTCCAAGTGTGCTACTTTTTTAGCCATATGCCACTATAGTTTTTTTTCGTCCTGTAAATCGTCTCTTCAGTTGTTGATTAATCAGGAAGCTGTGAGTTGATCAATATTCTCTTTTTGGTTGACAACAGTAAGACTTTAGCATCCAAGCTTTGTACCTCAAGTTGATTTTAGGGAACAGCTGCCTCGTATGAAAATGATTAATCACATGCAAGATTTTCTGCACAGCAGTTTTTTTTTCTACTGTGAAAATCTCAATAATTTTTAACAATAGATTTACATCACAACGTTAACTTGGTAATTTTAGTCATAAATATTTAAAATCACAGAGAATACTTTAAAACAATAACATCAAGCAGGTGAAAAATCTCTGTATCTTATGTTCAGGCTAACACCAGAGTCCAAGTGTTGACTCAAAGTCAGACCCAGCACACGACCAAAACACGGTGAGCACTTTGAAACAGCCGTCTGGTACTCATAACAAGGATTACCACAGTGAACGTCATTATGTACAAATTACAGTCACATTCAGCCCGCTCAATCCCTTTCTACGTCTTTCATTGGGACGTGTTCAGAGAGGCGGGTTAATGTTCCCCTACACATACTATACCTCCACTCCTTATGAACATGAGCTAAGCCTCGGTAATTGCTGGGAACTGACCCTGGGTACACATTCCATACATGCAGTGCCCTTCAGTAAGAGCACTATGAGACACATTTGACTAAGATCCCAGCATTCCTCATGTGTTTTTTTAGGGGGGTCTTTTGTTCCTTCAGCGTCCAGCGTCCCTGTACTTGGCAGCCTATCTGAGGGGCCTCGGTGCGGATCTCTTGACGCACCGCTGACAGATCGGCCTGTTCTGGACCGCGGTGATGATGAGAGAGCAGACCAGAGAGGGAAAGGGGGGGGGGGGAGAAGATGAGAGGAGAGCGAAGGTGAAAGTGAAGAATCGAGAGAAGGAGAACACAGGAGAGCGGCGCTTCAGATCCTAAGAGGGGCCGTGGGCCTCACACAACGTAGGGCCCTCTCCTCCCTCAGTCCTCCCTGCCTGGTGCCCTCCACCGCCCTCCATTGCTCTGTCACTCAGGACTAGACTATTTCATTTTAATAAGGCTAATCCCTCCTAGAGGTAAGCTGCTCATCACCTCTCCCTCTCCGCCTCCTTCAGAACCAGAGCAATCCCCTTTCAGCGTGAGGACAGGATGAGGGAGAGGGTTTGGTCCGCTTGATAGGAGAGAAAAATGTGAAAGGTGAGACTGAAAAAGGCCTTCGATGGCAGCTGTGGTCGGCGCTCAAAGAGAAGATTTGGGCCTCTGTGGTTTGATAAAGTTGCAGGTGGTTCACTTTTTTGTAAGGGATTCCTCCTCCGTCCAAATCGTAGCATCATGCTGATAGGAGGTGCTGTGATAACTTTGTTCTGCGCAGAGGAAGTGAAGTCCTATCGTCTGCCTCCTGTCAGCAGAGCACTCTCCACCTGTCAGCAGGAGACTTTACCTGCTGCTTCACACATCTGACTCCATCGTATGCATTTTTAATTGACATTTTGTGAAATGGGAGAACACAGAAAGTGATCAAACTCGAGCTGATAGAGTGCAACAAGTTAGTTATTGTTTGCTATGTCATAGTGCAAGCATGTTTTTGTCGCCTCTTGCTTTGCAGTTTGAAATATTAAAATGATTTATTCAGACTGAGAACTAGAAAAAGTAACATTTTGGTTGTGAATTATACAACACTTGTTGTTTCTGAACAGATGTAGAGCGTAGACGACTTGAAACCTTTGGGAGAATGTCACCAGGTTGAACATTTCAAACAAACATGTTGCCTATGACACATGAAGAAAGTAGTGAGTGATAGTATGTCAGTAAGGCCATTTTTTAAAAAGTTTCCATTGTCGTAGGAAAAGCCTGAAGGGTCTCTGATGGGCTGATGGTTTAGATGACAGATCTCACTCTAAGGCTTCCTGCTCTGAGTTTACACCAAGATATAGCATGTCAATGTTCACTATGAGCTATGGCTGCTGATGGGCTGATGATTCAGTGTCAGAAACATGAAAACCTCTGGTAATAATAGTATGACTATTTCTACACCAAGTGCCTCTTTTGATGTAGTCCAGGCCCTAGTGCATACGTTATTCACGTGTGCATATCTTTTTGTAATCAGTGTGAAAATACTCTATTGATAAATGCTGTTACTTATTATTGATGAAGAACGTTATTGGCTAATGATCCTGCAAAGTCTGTAAGACATTTAACACATGGTCATACATTTTAGTACAAACATGTATGCCCCCCCTTCTTGGTGACTTCATCTGTGATCTATGATTGGCATTTCAATTTGAACTATATTTGGTGGTTGCTTATCAAATATTTGCACAACACGAGCATCTGAAACTTTGTACTTATGCGTACATTCAATGTGTACATTCAGCATGTGAGCGTCTTCTTGTTGATCATGAGCGTAGTGCTGTGCAGACGTTCAACCCCGCAGAGCTGCTAACATGTCTGTAGTGTTGTTTAAGACGATTTTGATGAAACCATTAACTCACGTTGGATGTATGATTCACAGCACAAGAAAATGTTGTCAAGCATGCAAAGGCAAGGTAGAGCTCTGTCAGTCACCGGCGTTTTGTTTTTGTTATTTCAGTGAATCTCAGTTTAAGTTACAGATTAACTTTAAGTAATGATAAGCTGTTACTAAAGAAACACTGTGTTTACGGCCCCACACACACACTCACACACACACACACACACACACACACACACACCCACACACACACTTCGAGAGGGACTGGTAAAATGACAAGAATCCAAACAGTTGAGAGCTTTGAAATTAAGAAAATGAAAAGGAGTCAAGAGGGAACATTCCTCAGCAGTGCCCTGGTCACCTGATCTGTTATGAGGTCAAGGGTCAACTAATGAAACTTACCACCAGCCCTCTCAGAGAGTTTAAAGAGAAACAGCTTTTCGGTTTACAGCGATGAAACAAGGTCTGAAGATTTAACTGGGGATGGATTTGAGCAACTCCGCAGCTTCTTTGAGATCAAGCAGGAAGATGATTGAATTAGAAACGCTAGATACACATGAGCTGGAAGGGAGACCATAAGAAACATATCGACTTGACTCTGTTCTCTGCATTGTCGTGAAACACCTTCTCTCATGGTGTGTTTGTATGATTTGTATCCCTCAGTCTGCAGCTGAATGACTGTGTGCCAAATGTGTAGGGTTCCCCCCATGTTGGGAAGTTTTAGGATGGTGGACCCCAGCAGGAGCAGCTAAGGGGCCTTCCAGAACAATGCTAGGAGAATGGCTTAACTCACCAGTCCAGATTTACTGCTCCTCCTGCACAGCACCTGCTCATATTGTTTCCCAGGATTTGGCCTAAAAAAAACAAAAACATTCAAGTATTGGTGATAAAAAAAAAAAAAAAAACGAGACTGCAGACACCCCCCTTAGTTCAAAGATTGTTTGAGGAATCTCTTGGGCTTAGATGAAGAAATCAACTGAGGAAAATCCGACATCATGAATAGCGTTCTTGCCAGGAGGGGGGCGGTCAACGGGTTTATTGGTGTGGTGTCTTACATTGTCCAAAAAGAGAGTGTAAGTGCTGAGCAGAGCTGAACCTGCTAAACTCTCCTCCTCTAGTATACTCAGTTTATTTATTGAGAGAAGAAATCTCAACAAAAGTTATTTCAGAACACTTACCGTACTTTACGCAAAGACATCGTCTAAACTCTACTCTTTTAAATATTATTTACTAAAATGTATCCACAAATTTGCAACACTAGGTAACATTGGCAAATATTTTTTTTAACAGGGCCGAAATCGCAAATAGAAGCAGACTCATCGGAGGATGGACATATGCAGGCACCATGCTCTAAAACTTTTAATACTACATGTACGAGTGTTTACATTGCATGCAAGCAACCCCAATTGCACAGCATTCTTCTGCATCAGCTATCACAATAATAACTAAACAGAGAGGGTGAAGACATTCCCCCTGTGTGTGTGTGTGTGTGTGTGTGTGTGTGTGTGTGTGTGTTGGTTTTCAGAAGGCACATTCCTGAGCTGGCCTGGGAGAAAGTGAGAGGCTCCGCAGAGGATAGAGACCGCAAAACAGAATTCCCAGAGAGGTTTGAGGAGGGGGGACGACCGGGGAGCAGCAGAGGCCCCTTTTTTTTGTCACCCATGCCTTGTTGGTGCCTTTAGGGGCCATATGGACGCCTGCCTCTGTGCATCTCACAGCAGCCTATTCTTCACCCCCCCCCCCACCCCCTCCACCCCTACAGGCTCGGTGACAGGACCGTCCACGTGAATGAGTCATGGCCAGAGTGAAGCCAGCTCCCTTCTGTTGATGGAAAGCTCGTCCTTTTTTCATCACCCTACACCACTTCCCTGCTACCCCCCCCCTTTAAAAAAACATTTAACTAATTATTTTTCTGTTGTCCATCCTTTTCTCGACCCTCTCTCTTTCCTTTTTAAGCACATCAGACACAGTGTGAAAGCCCAGCATTAGACAGCTGCCCCTGTATAATGCAGCGACCCCCCCACCCCCTCCCTCTGCTTCTGCAGCCTCTTTTCTAGCAGGGCACCGGCTGTCAGTTGGGACTAAAGGTCTGCTGGGCTGCTCTTGACCTGAGGTGGACCCAGACCTCTGAGATGTGCTTTTTTTTTATTCTCATGAAGGAGAAAAGCAAAAGTCTGAGCTTGCCTAAAGGGAATTTCCTCTACAAAGATGTCTAGCAGTTTTTGACCAGCCATTTATGTCAAGGAGGTGACATACTTTGTGCTTGGGGGGCTTTTGCAGGAGAATTTGTCTGCAATGAGACTGAAACAGAGTGAATTTGCAGGCTGCAAAAGGAAGCGATGCTCATAGATACCTAAAGAGCTGAAGGGAGCTGCAGAAAGGGAGAATACGTCTCTGTGGGTTCTACACTTATAATAACTATTTTCACCTTGCAGAGTTGATGATGTGATTGTTTTTATGAAAATGTTGATTTGTGCAGCTTTGAAACAGTGCTTAAGTAATGTGTTTTAGAGCGTACATTTTTTAAATAATCAGAAAGTTGAGCACTATTTTTTCACACATTTCTCTCTACATCTGCTAACTCCAAATCCCAGCTGTTTAAATGTATTCTCTGTAAAGCACTGCCATATTAAGATCACACAATATGAACCATATAAATCTCTTTTATATACTAGATATGACATTTCACTGCCCATCTGTAAGAGCATGTTACAAAAACCTTGAATCTAGAGGCGCTTTCACCAAAAGATAAATATCATGAAAATGAAGACGTATTAAGTGACTTCCTGCCAAGGTCACATCATTGATATTCCAAAGAGGATCCTCAGGGAGCCGTGTTGAAGAGGGCACTAATGGATGATATTACCCAGTAATTAGATCTCACATGAGTGGATAAAAAAAAAAAAAATCCATCATTGATCCTGAACACCAAACCCTGAAACAGTCTGAATGATGAATTAATGTGTACTGCTCTATGTTACCTCTTACTATAAACAGTAACAAACAAAAAAAAGCACATTATTTTACATGTTGTGTTATTTTGTGAACTTCTTGAAATACATGAATTGTAATGTGACTTTCCAGTTAATGATAGGGGAACTAACACGTCATGTTTTGCTGTTGCATATTTGTGTCGCTGTCTCTCTGTGTACGAAATGTTTGAACAATTAAATGAATGCTGTATGACATAGATTACTTATTCTTTTTTGGATGTATCTTGCCAAAGGCCGAGGTCCTTCAGGACGCTCTCCTCCAGCATCAGGAAATCCTTGTAGTCTTTAATGTCCTTCTCTTCCTCCTCCTCCAGGGTTGTTTTGGGCATCTCTGGCTCCTGAAGACGGAAAAAAGAATGATAAACAATATGATAGCGAGTGAAACAATACTCTAAAACTTGTCCTTAGAAAAGATCTGACACTTTCTGTTCTTTAAAGCTGAATTATTGAGTTCAAATCTGGGAAAGGTTTTGTAAAACCTATCATCTCAGCCGTATCGTCTTACTTATTAACTTTTTTTTTTCTCATTCATGAATGCAAATATTGAGAATAAATGTCTAGAAAATCCATCATTTTAAGATGACTTCATGTGGAAAACTTTTCAGGCTTTTGGAAAGGCTTGAAAGAATTGCAAATGTGCTCAGATAAATAATGTTTAATGCTTCATTTAATCCTTAATAATAATTCTCTTACCAGAGGGAGGATGATCCTCTTAGGACCGTTTGTTAAATACTAATCTTGCATTATCACTTTTAATATTGTCAAAGATATATACAGACAATCGTGTGAAAGGACAAGACACATCTTTGCACTGACAGTGTGAAAAACAGTTTATATTTACTGTCTGAGGCTTCTTGTCCTTGTAACGTGACTACAGAAGTTGGACATGAACCTTGACCTCAAACGAAGAGAAATGTAAGATAACTAAACAAAACTTTATCTTCTTCATAACTTTCATCCAGTCTCACTCTAGCCACTGACAGAATTAGTGTCTATAGTTAGTAGATCTACTGCAATGCACTGGCCGTCAATAATGAAACCCGGCCCAGTGAACCAGGATCAAATGATGACGTGAATGAATTATAAATGAGGAGACACAGGGCGGAAAAAAAAACAAGAGAAAGAGAGGATACAGAGAAAGAGGAGGAGCCTCTGTTTGAACTCTTGGACTGCTGCAATGTCCCCACAGAGTCGGTTTATTCTTTATTAAGTTAGAAACTGAAGCTCACCAGTTTCTTCTTTAGTTCTTCAATTTCCTTCTTCTCTTTTGCCCAAAGCTCCTTTCTCCTCAATAAATCTTTCAGCCTGTCTTCCTCCAGCTCAAAGTATTTCCTCACATTTAAATACTGCACACAAAAGAGAAGATTAGCAGTTCACAAACATCAATGATGTTTACTGATCAGGGAGCCATTAAAAAAGTCAAGAATAACAACACAATATTCCCAATTATTCAACCACTGGACCAACGTTCTGTCAAGAACTGCATAGCTTCATGTTGGTGCACTAACTCACAGTAAAAGTTAAACTTGGCATATTGAAGTGCTTGATTTATTACCTCATGTTGTCATGATTGACCATTTATACATTATTATACAAAATAACAATCGATTAATCGAAAACTTAAAGTGAGTACTGAAGATTCAGTTGGACTGTCTCACCTCGCTCCTGGAGGGAACGTAGAATGTCTTTGGGATTCTGAAAACATGGACCACTGCGAGGTCATCAGTCACAGCCAGGAAGTGCTGCTTGGCTTTACACAAACAAAACCAAACATAATAAAAGAACTTCAACATGAACTCAATGACTGGAGGAATCTTACAACAAAGGAACTTATCACCAAGTTTGTCAGAATTTACCGTAAAATCTGGGAAAGTCGTAAACTAGCATAATAGACGCAGACTGTTTCTGTATTCCAGAGTGAAAAAAGGTTGAAACGGTTTGAAGTCCACAAAACTTAGTTTCTATGCAGTCGTGTAGCTCTTACAATACCAGATTTAAGGTCACTTATATTGTCCTTAACTGAGGAGTCAGCACTTCATAAGTTGTATTTACCTGCAGTATATCACTGTTTTCTTTCAGTGCATGATTATGACATAATGAAGGAGATTGTGGCTCCATCAGTCCTCATTGCTATGTATCTAGCTAACTTAGTGCAGAGAAGTGACTGCTTGCAAGACAAAATGAACGGGTGTGAATTTTCACTCACGTCGATTGATCGATTGCAATGAGTGATGGTTGGAGCTGCACTTGTTGTCATGACGGTGCATGTCTCAGCATTTTATACTGGTATATTGGTCACATATACATATATATAGGGTGCAGCACACACACAGCACAGATCAAAGGATAGTATTAAAAGTGGGTTTTGACAAACAGGTATATTAGGGGTCTTGGCAGCGCACAGTATGTAAATTCAGCCATTAGGGGGCTCTTAATCAAAACAACAACAAAACATGACGTTGAAGCTGGCAGGGAATCATGGAGTGATTATCTCTGCTACTCCGCCCCGAAAGATTTACATTTAGTTAAACATGTTCTTATATTTGATTCAGTTGTGTAACACAAAAGAACTACAACGTAGTAGAACAGGTAATGCTTCATTGATATAGATTCTAAATTAGGCACCACAGAGGCTGTGAACTTACAGGTGCTGGCGGTCCAGGGCTTAATGCAGGTGATCTTAGCTTTGGTGACATGTGCGTAGACCTGTACAGGTGCACCGGTCTTTGCCAGCAGGTTCCACACCTCAATGCTGCCATCTTCTTTGCCAAGGAAGAAAACAGCTGGTCGGGACAGGGACCAGCATCCCACAGTGTACACCTGCTCAGAGCTTGGCGACTGGATAATGGGGCCACCCTGGATTTTGTAGTTTACAACAAGTTGAACTGAGTCATTGGGTTTAAAATGCAACAAATCTGGTCTAGTATCATTTGGAACTAGTAGTTGAAAGTGACTTTACCATGACACCCTCTCTCCAGATGGCAAAGTCCCAGGCTCCCACTGTCAGGATGATGTCTTTGAAGAAAGGAGAGCGCTGCACCGTGTTCACAATCCAGTGATGGATGCTGGAGCAGTGAAGGGGTTTCTCACCTGGCACAGACGAGAGACAGGAAGAGAGAGTGTGCTGTTATTTTACAGAAATTTACCTCTTCAGAATCAACAGGAAATGCAAAACATAAGAAACAGTTTACAGTCTATGTCGCTGTCAAATGATTTACTGTAAAACTTCAAATAAAAGCCCATCCTAATTAAAGGTCAAGTCTCTTTTAAATATTCACAATATTAAATATTCTTGCAAAGCAGATTCTCTCAGTTAAATGTTATTTTTGGTCTACATTTCCAGTCTTTGCTGTGCATGAGTTTTGTTTAGAAAATGATTAAAGGCCTATCCCAAATAAAGGCAGGGTCATTTTATAGACTGAAGAAAATAAAAGCACCAGCTATTATTCGAAGTATTAAGGTATTAATTACCGTAGTAGAGGTGATAACATGACTGCCACAACAAAGCACCAATACTGCACATTATAACTTATTATTTATCATTTATTCAGTTTCGGTCAATGGCTTCTATGGATCCAGACTTACAGGATGCTATTACTGTTGTTCATTCAATAAAACTCCCAAACACTTTGGTCTGCTTGGAAGCTAACACGATTTATTACTCACTGTTTAGCCGTCCAGAGTCGTCTTTTAACAGTTTCCAGTCTGCGTAAACAATCTCCCCATCCTGAGAGTAAAATTATAGATATAGAAACATTGAATAAGCATTTTCAACATTTTCCCAAACATGCCATTCTGTTTGATTTATTATTTATATTTGGAAGAAATTAGCATGGAAGTTGTAAAGAAGTGAAATATTGCTTTATTTTTAATGCTGAGACTATGTACCTCTGTTCCAACATAGAGCTTGGTGTTGACATCCTCCAGGGTTTTAAGTGTTTTCGCTGAAGGCACTCTGAGCTGGCTGTAGTCTGGGATGACCTCTGAGCTGTCATCATTTTCATTACCTTCTTCTCTCAGGGAAACCAAAAAGGGGTGAAGATGTAATAGAGAAAATAAGGTAGAATTAAAAGTTGAACACTTTTTTAGACAGTCAAACAGGAAGACAAAGAATCTCTTCAGGGAAAAGTTTTCCTTATGTGAAATAAAACATTGACTCAGCTCATGCCTGGCTTTAACAAAACTATTTGGGGTATTTTTTTTTCGAACGAAATCCCCAAACATATATCCTAACCTAAGGAAAACACACATAACATAACATAACATAACATAACATACTATTAATGTTAAGTAAGAAGTTAAGGGAGATAGAAAGGTGACATATGTGCAGCCTGCTCTGTAATCTGACCATGAAGCAGACGGCAGAAGGACAAAAGAGAAGGCAGGGTGGGGAGGAGTACAGCTGAGGTGAATGGGTTGGTAAGAGGGGATACGAGGGGAGTGGGAAAGTTAGAGGGTGGAGGTGAGATTGAGGATTGTGGCAAGAAGGGGTGGTAGGGTGGGGGGGAGTAAGGGAGAAGGGTGGGAGGGTTGAGATAGGCCGTATACTGGTAGTGATGGAAGAGCCCTTTTCCATCACAAAAGCTCAACTGTCTGTCAGGGACAGTACAGGACTGTCTGTTCACACCCCCTTATCAGCCGGCCGCTCCCAATCAAGTCTCAGCTTCACTCTGTTAGATTAGCTCCTGAAGGTCAGATCCGATTACCCAATCACACATCTTCCAAATCCACTTTCCCTCGGTTAAGATGTGTGTAAAGATACGAGACAGATGATACGGCTTCACTTTCACCATCTTTCTCTGCTGCTTAGCGGTTGCCTAATCCCCTCAAGGGGTTGCTCACAAAAATATGTTGAAAATCATTTGGTAATGTTTTTGGGACAAAGTGGATCTTTTTTAATGAAATGTCAGAGGACACATTAGAGAAGGATGAATGCAGAGCAAGGAGAAAAGCATTGTGTAGACCAAATCAATATGAGTCAAACTTCTCAAGTGGACATCCCACAAGGGTTAATTCAAACTTTAATAACACACTGGCTGAGGGCTGCTGAAAAAAAGCAGCAGATTTATTGCCTTAGTTAGTGAACATTTTAATAGAACAACCTCCAGTCACTAAAGCTGCGTTTATGGTGGCAGACCTTCAACCAGACAAAGACAGGTCTCTTCTTGACCAGCCAGGACACACACGATCATCCTCTGGCCCTGGAGGAGCCTAAGCGGCATATTGCAAAGAGCTGACAGTCAGCAAGGTTAATGCTCTTCAACTATGAGGGCCTTGTTTTGGAAGTATCACTTAATAAAGTGCTATGAAACCGGAGGAGAGCAGAGCGAGACAGAAAATGAGAGTCCCAGAGGGGCCGGGTGAACCCTGCCCTGTGCTCAACCACGCAAAGCGGAATTGATGAGTTCAACATCCCTCCAATCACAGCCCTGCAGTCAGAAACACTTTAATATGACTAGTTGAGGCCAGAGGTACAAAATAAAAAACTATTAGCAAAAAATAATCATGCTTTCAGTAGCATTAGAGTCGTCACACTGCGGTCTGTGCTAGGGCCCTAATTGTTTAGCTGGCAGAGGGGGATAATATTTCGAGTTTCAGAGATAAAGATGGTAAAAAAAGGAGAAGAATCTCACAAAGATGTGAGGAGAACTGTAGGAGATGTAGTGGATCCTTGACAAAGATGAATAAATACAATCTTAGTTTAAAAATAAAAAATTTGCCTTAAATCACAAAGAATTAAAGAGTTGTTATTCCTCACAGATGTACGTCTTTTAATTGTAAATCAGTTTTTTACCTCTAAGTCTGCCATCTTAATTGTTTGTACTTTTGACAGCTTTCACACCTCTGGCTTGTTTACCTTCACATTTCTATCATCAGTGGTTGTTTGAAAAGTAAGATGTTTGAAACGGGGGAAATCAGCACTTTACATATAAACTTCAGCACATTATTTAAACGATGTAAACCTGTGACATTACTTTGGATTTGTTACTTTAAGACAGTTTGATTCTTTATTTAGATATTTGATTGTTGGGCGAGTAAGACGATAAAACCAAGTGATGCTCATTTGTGTGTCTGAATGTAGGAAAAATGGAGATTGGGTGCAGTAGACAGAAACATACAATGCTAGGCAGCCTCAAGGGTAAAGTCTCTTACCTGTGGTCACACCTGTATTATTCTCATAACAGGTGTAGTGTTCCAGGCTGAACTTCAAAGGAGCATATTCTCCACTGGTATCGATCTTTTGAAGAGAAATCGGACACACAGAAGAGAAGAAGACACATTTTGACACACAAGGAGCTGACAGAGACTGAACATTACTTAAAACATAATCAAATATCTTTGAATGAGCCATATTTAAGAAATAAAGAACATACATATAAAGTTTTCTGCAGCTAATGTTTTATGTTACAACCAGGATAATCCAAGTGATTAATACATGAGCATTTTAAAGTTCCCTTTCCCCTTGAGAGCAGAAGAGAACATCATTTTGCAAATCATCTTTTTAAGTATTATTTATTTCAAGTTGTATTTTGGTTTCAGCTGCAGCCTCTCAGTACCCTGAACAAAGGTTTCCATGTCTGATCCAGGTGTTTGAAGGTATCAGGGACACTGAAGGGGGCCATCTGGCTCTTCTGATCGGCTTTCTGCTTCTTGCCTGATGCTGAATGTCTCGACAGTTTTGTTGCTCGCACATCCCAGAACATTATAGAACTTTGAAAGGAAAGGGAGAAAGATACAAATAAATACAAACTTAAACTGAAAAAAAACAGAAACAGACCAATTTAAACTGAAAATCACATGCTGGTGTGTTAAGACATCCTCACAGATGCAGAAATAAATGTACTTCATTAACAACTCTGCAATGTCTTGTGATAGACAGTCACACGTATCAGGCCTGTGAACTCACTGACATGTCTGTCTGTGAATCATGCAAACAAGGACTATTTTTGGGAATCCAGAATGAAAAACAGAGTCATGTGGGGACTGTACTAAGGCTGCAAACACTGTTCCTTTGTTGACTGCATAGCTTCTAAATATCCGACGGTACATTTTGTTCTGCACAAGGATGACATGTTGGTTTCATTTGATGCTGTAAATCCATGCAGAACCTCAGTGCACTTATAGATGCTGGATTTTGAGTGTCACATTTGTACTTACACAGTATTGAGAGGCAACCAAGGACAAGAAATAAGAAACTCAGAACTATTTTAAGGTTTTTGCATGAATTAAATACCTTTAGTTACAACTTATTGTAGAGGTTCAGAATAATAATACAACATAGGATCATTATAGGTGAAGAAAAAATAGGGTGCATCTTCATTGGAGGTACCTAGTTAACAAATTCAGTTTAACCCTTCCTTCCCTTCTAGCTTGATATCCACTTATTTATCAAAGGTTTAACTTGGCTAAATGTTAAACATATGCCTTTAACTTTTAACAGAGTATTTTTTGGGGGTCAGGTACTAAAAGCCATCAGACAGGACACCCATACACACACTAGCAGATAATGCTTATACAAAAGTAATACTTAAATAGAAGTAGCAGCTGATTGAACTGATTTCAACAGACAGACAGAATGTAAAAAGTTGGGTGATGTTAACAACAGAGCGAAGTGAGAGACACTGAAGACTGATGTTTGCATCTGGCAGTGGACCACAATATGAAGCATCACATCAGCGGGCTTATGAGCAAACGTGCAGACATCTCAGGACAAACTCTGTCATATCACTTTGTAATGAGCTAACTATAAACTGAACAGTTTCTTCATACCCTTCAGGGGAGCAGGTGACAACCTGAATAGAGAGGTTACTCTTGTTCTCTACGGCTAAGCCTGTCCTGGTCACCTAAAGAGAGAGAGAGAGAGAGAGAGAGAGAGAGAGAGAGAGAGAGAGTGTTGTAAACAATACGGTTCCTGAAGACACTTGGGGGTTTATGAGCTTACGTGGTGCACTTTGTTGATTGCCTTATTTCACTAATCCAGATGAGTGCTAGTTGTTGGAGATGATTGATAACAACTGGCTTTATAGACCCGAGGGGTACACACCAATAGGAAACCAGAAATGTGATATATTAATTGTTTCATAACACAGAATATGGTTCAGTTGACAGTAACAGTGTATTGGATCTGTGTGACTTTATATTCCCTTATTATTTATTTTATGGCTTAAAGCATTACCTCTTACAGTTATGATTGCATCATGTGTACCTTGTTTCAAACTGAACAACATCGATGTTGTAAATAAAGAACTATTTAGAACATTTTCCTCTAGTGTCTTCCTTTCATACCTGCCTGTTAATTCTAGGTATTCCTATCATCATACCCACCATGTGTTGAAATCTGTCATAGCCTTTTCTCTGCCCTAACTACTTTCCTGTTATTAACTACGGTAATCCTTAATCTTCGGTAAGACTTGTTAACAATGGTTGGATTTAAACTCAAAGTAAAAAAATATAGGTATAAATTATGAGAGCAAAACGAAAACCCAACCCTTTAAGTCTTTGGAAGCTTAAATTTTACTCTGGTTACTCCGGTTTGTTGGAAACTATGCTTTATTTTTTTTTATATTGGAGTTAATAATAACTTGAAAAAAAGGCACTTACCGGTATACAGTGCACTCATGCTGTGCAGTCACATACTGTTAAACACTTTTAATAAATAGAGATGAAGGGGGAAATAGTGATCAACATGGTTGTAAAATGTTCCGACATCTACCCGATGCACTCCTGATAGAAGTTGTGGAGAAATAACTCTCTACAAGCTCAGCATTCTGATTACTTGACGTAAGATTCCTTCCAAAATCTCTGCCCCTCAGCTCTGCATACCTCAAATGTTGGTGGCAGCCACTGGACATCAGTAATTGGTGCTTTAAGGCCACTCTCTATGGAAGACACTGCACAGTAACACACAATAGGAGTCTTCTTTTCTTTGTTGTCATCCAGGTCCTGGTAGAAGATCAGGGACAAAGACAGAGTGTGTACAGTGAGCTCTACCATCTCAATTTAAGTTCAGGGACTTGTTTCAGTCATTACCTGAAATATTGCAAATACGTCTGCATTTAAAATATATGAAAAGTCCAACAGAAAAAAACTCTGAGTAACTCTGTGGCCATCAACCACAAAGATCTTTAAATTTGAATGTATTAAAGGATAGCCCCTTGAGAAGCATTATCTCATTTTTAAGGTGGTCCAAAAGTAGAATGGGTTATGCCTGAATTACTAAAATAATAAAATTCAGAAATAACAAAATCAGGACTTCTGCAGCGTTCATTGTAAAATGGCTTTGTACATCAAGCAAGCCTTTTTAATTCTTCCTTTTATCTGATAAATGAGCAACAGGTGCAGGTTTAGTACTCAATATGGAATAAAGCCTTTTAGCAGATACAAGCGCTATTGTTTACACCGCAAACACAAGGGAGGGCAGTGATCGGATTTGCTTGTGTGTTATCTGGTGGAAGATGGAGTGTATGTGTAACAGCTGGAGCTGTGTGCTGATGCTGTTGACTCTGGGGAATGAAAAGCAAACAAGGAAAGAGAGAGAATAGAGGGAGGTATGATCGTTGGAGAGGGGAACGCAAAAAAGTAGGAAGTAGTGAGGACAGGGATGGAGACAGCTGCTATACTGTTGAGGCAATAAATACAGATAGCAAATAGAGGCCGGACAATAGATAGGGGCGTATATGTGTCTGTTTAAATACAGCCGCTGAGAGGAAGATGTCAGGGGAGGTCAGGCTTTAAGGGAACAGATCTGGTTGTATATTTGGTGCTGGTGTCATAATAAGCTACGGTAGATTTAATGTTCTTGCTGTGCTGTGGGTTTAAATCAGGGCCCTGTTTGTTGTCACGTATCATTACCTCTGTCCTCTCCATGCTCTTCTTATTTATGTTCATAATACAAAGTCAACAGGGCAGTTATGCCGTGAACCAAGAAGTTAAGTCAAAAAATAACCCCTCTTTGAACTTTATGTCCTGTGATGGGTTTCTTATTCAGTTGATCTCTTCAGCCGGACCAGAGTGTTTACAAGCTGCTTCTGTTCCGCAGTAGTGGGGTCGTGTAACGATATAAACTTGCTTTGAGATTTACTTGTGGCATTAGTGTGTTTATGGAACTAGTTTTGACAGCTGTGGCTGGCTTGAAAAGGACCATTAGACCACAGCATTCTCATCTAATGAAAGGGTGAGGAGGAGGAGAGAACGTATCATCATCTCTCTCTGTCATACAGCACCACAGATGAGTGCAGCCTGTCCTTTACAGCAAACATGCAGCGTGCTTTGATAAACTGACGACCCATACTTGAATAAACCAAAGTGACATCATCACCAGCCAAAGAGCTAAAGTAACTGATACCACATGTAAAACACTAGCACGGATACAGAACACCATGTATTATTGTATCAACAATATGCACAGTAGAGATAGGATATGGGTACTTACGAATGTGTCAGGGTTGATGGAGGACTTTTTACCGCCAGCCTGAGTTCCCTGTAAGTGTGTGACGTGAGCAGAAATGTCCCACAACACAACCTGAGACAACAGCAACACAATATCAGTAACCAAAGATCAACACCTGAGCTGAGTTCAAATAGAATTCACTGTGTGAAAAAACTCCCAATAAATATTTAAATTAGCGCTGATTAAAAACAGAATGGGAACAGAAACAATATATGCGAAACATACAGGATGTGACAACATAAATGAGGGTTATAGGATAATTCCTACTTTCCCTGTTATCAAAGGGGTAAGGCTGAGGCACAAACGTTACTATAAGGCTGACTAGTCATCAAAAGCAGAGTTTAAAGTCAGCACCTGGCCATTTATGCAGCCGCCAACAACAATATTTGGATCAGAGGGGCAGAACTCAAAGGCAAAAATGTCATCTGGGCACTCCAGCAGCAACTGCAAAAAACACAGAAAACCCACATAAACAGCAGAGAAATATTATATTTCAAAGAAGACATTCCTTGGTATTGGATACTTGTCTTCCAGAGTATTTATTTTTTCTATACTCTCCATACAGAGTTTATCTTACAGTCTTATCTATAGTCTATCTTATATAATCCAAAACTGGATCTTATTTTATCAGATATAAGGGGAAAGATCCAGGAGGAGCATGATGATATTACTGAGAAGTCATTTTCCAAAAAAGTATTTAAATCTGTCAGAGTTTTAAAGATTAAGCTACAACATTCTCCTTGCCCCACAGTTTTAAACAACATTTATTTCCACTATGTCTCTTTTCCTTCACAAAGTAACTCTTTGCCATTTGATCCTTTTTGCTCCAGGAGACAGTGAAACAGAGCATGACACATGCTCCAGTGAACAGATACGTCATACAGAACTCATATTACTTGTGAGTGATTTAGCAGCGCAGTTTCATTGATTGGGAGCATGGGTCAAATCAATAGAGCCACTCAAATTCTGCAAAAGCAAATGATGGCTTTGAATGACAGCACTAAGCAAATCCATGTTTTCCAACTACGTCTCACAGAAATACAGGACTAGAATGCAGAGAATAGATGAGTAAGAAAAGAATGAGAGAGAGAGCAAAGTGACTAGACACTCCCCACCATACCTGGGAGAGTAGCACTCATTCATACCTGGGGACCACTGGTGTCTGAGAAACTGTAGAAGATAATGAGTGAAGGTCTGACATCAACTTTTGTGGACTCATTCAACTGCTCCTTCTTTTTCTCTGTCAAAGCCACAGCTATGATACCTATCAAATGAAAAACACATCACACTGCAATGCATCAAATACAAAGCAGCAGAGAGTAAACATGTTGGCAGAGTCTTTTTATACTCGTCCTACTTCTTAACTGGTTGAATTTACTGGCTACACTTTGATATCACTTTAAATAATGTACATTCACACTGATGTTTGTATTCTGCTAGAACTATCTTTGAAAAACAAATTCAATATACGGAAGAGAAAGAGAACCCTACCGACTGTGAGGTAAATTAGGTCCAGCATGAGCAGGGAATTCAAAGTATGGAGGCCCCTTTATTTGGAGTGGTTAGCTAATGTTAGCTTGCTAGCTTACGTGGACTAGTTAACATTTATTTGGCGGATAATGTTTGTAATGTCACCTCATCATCCAGACTCATTGGAGAAACCTGGCTTGCATATCATCAGCTTCATTTATGAACTTACTACACTTAACTCATATTGCAAAGACACAAATGCCAGATGCTTGTAGTGTATCAAATGAACAGCAGACAAACTTATCATGTTGTTATATTATAAAAAATGGTGTTGTTTTTAACCAACATAAATTATGTAAGAGCACAAAGGTGTATACATTTTAAGATGTCTTTCATCAATCAGGTTCAGTCATGTAAATGTTCTGGCCTGTAGACTGTGAGCATGAGCAACTGGACTCTGAAATTCCCCAAAATAGTTCCTGCATATTCACTTCATGGTCCCCAGTTCTATTAGAAACCATGTTTTATAGAAACTGCTCATCACACCTCTTGATACAGATACTTGTCAGTGACATTGAGATTCTGGGAATGAAACTATGCTTGTGAACATTTAACATTTTGCTCTTGCAGAAATTTAAAACAACAATCTGTTAAACACTTCGCCTCCCCCATGTCACGCAAGGTATCATTATTGACTTAAACTGACTGACATTTAAATTACCTTTAATATATACTTACTTCAGTAATCTGATCTAAATAATGGATTCATTTTTAAAATAAAGAACTGACAGAAAACTTTTACCAGTGCCCTGACTGTAAATTTGTACTTTACCGTAGATGGTAGGATGCCAGTTAACACAGCTGATTTTCTTGTTCTTTGTGTGCATCTGGTCTGATAAAGCCCTAAAAAGCATCAGACCTTCGGAAACCTGCCCAAAAAAATCACTGTCGTCATTTCCTGCACCCAGAGCCTTCCAGTCATCGATGAACACGTTCATGATCTCTGTCTGCTGAAGTGCGTGCAAAACCCTGCAGACATAAAACACAGTAATGTCAGGTAAAATGAATATGAGCCAAACTTTTATATATGAGTCATATAATACTCGAGATGTTCTCTTCTCTATTATTGTACATGGATATTGGGGTGTGTGTGAAAGTGAAAGATTACAATGTTTCTTTTATTGGCTGTAAATGAAACTAGAACACAGATTATAACACAATGGGGAGGTTAGGTTTTCATCAGTAACCTAATACTATTCTAAAACATTATCATATCTATCTAATGGCAATTAACGGATGTGTTTCACTATCATGAGGTTGACACAGTAATGTATGGATTTGCGCTGACTTTAACACTTTTACCTGGGAGTCACTGAGTTGAGAAAGTTCTTCAGGCTCTTACTCTTAAGGATACTCTCTCTTTCTTCATCACTTTGCTCTCTTGGCATGTATTGGGTAGATTTATTGTTCAGAACCTTCCTGTAAAGTGGGAACAATGAATTAAACAATACATTTGTACATTTGTGGGATTGGAGTTACAGTTAAAGCATAAAACCGAGAACAAATAGCATGGTAGAATTCTAGTTTGTGACTGTTAATATCAAATATCAAATGCAGCTTTTCACAAGTTTGGCAGGTGTAAGCCAAACCTGTGAGTGCTTCCCCACCTGCAGAACAAATCAATTTCATGTGCACTAATTCACTTGGCATACCACTGTGTCTGAGCACTGCTGCTCCACAGTTTGGGAACAGCCTGTATTCCGCAGTCCCTCTGCATCTGCTTGATACTGAATCTGCTATCTTCATAGGAAGGACACTCTAAGAAGGCATCCTTTGTATCTGCAGCATTGCGGTCTGAAAAGCAGACTGGAGCACCAAACTTCCTCCTCACTATGGAGCACTTGAAACACAGCTGAGGACAAAAAAAGACAGATTTGAAAGGTATAACTGAAGCACAAGTGAAGATGAGAAAAAAATAAATGAGTTATGGATCTCTAATTTGATTTTAAACACTTAAGTACCTTTTCTCTGGTCTCTTTAACTGATTCTTTCTCTACTTCCTGCTCACTGCCTTGAGGTATCCATTTCCTTGGTTCTGGGGTTTTATTGACTTCATTCTCCAACACTTCTGGTGTCTCAGGCTCTGGGGGCTGCAGCAAAGAGTGAATAACATGATGTAAAGTTTAAAGAATAGAAAACTCCTCAAAATGGTTTGTATTCAAACCAGAAATCTTCCCACACTGACACGCTTTCCATAAAGTATTGGATCTACAGGTAGATAAGGGCATAGTTTGTCAGCTGTTTTTATTTTTATTTGGCAGGTTAAAATATACCAGTACTCACTAAAAAAGCATTCCAAAAGTATTAGCCATGACTCTTTGTGATAAAGGAGCGCAAAATGTATAAAACATTTCTGCCTAAATACGTGTTAACCTAAATCACATGAAAGAAAATATGGATCTACCTCTGGTGTTAATATTTTCATGCTTTGACATTCATGTTGACAACTAGAAAATGCTTTTTTGGAAAAATTCAGAACTGATCAAACTCTAAGTAGTAGGTCAGAGCAATAGTTAGAACAGGAGCAATTCTAAAAATAAATAAAAAATCGTGGTACCATAACAAGAGGCTGTCGCCTGCTTACATTGAGTATTCTCTTCTTGGCTTCTGGTGTCAGAGCCAGGTAGAAGCACTGGTCATAGGTGAAGTCCCTGTCAAAAACCAGCAAGATCTCATCCTCTGGGTAGTCCTGTCAGATAAAAGACTTTAGAATGAATGGCAGTCAGTGAATTCCATGGCAAAGTTTCTTTAGAATAATTACTGTGGTGACTTTGAGTTGATTTGGGAAACCACAGGTATCCTTTATTCATCAGTGATTTGGTTTTGATAGTTAATGATGCAGTAAGATGTGGATTTCAGATATGAAGGCTGATGGTTTGAGGTTCAGAAAGGGAGAGAAAGACAGACAACCACAGACTCATCATCAAAGAACAGATGAGTCTGTATGGATCCCAGAGGGTGCTCTCTGGTCTCATTAGAGTAATGAAGTGTAGTAGAAGTGGCATGAAAGCATACAACGTTAAGAGTGGTGGTAACTGTTGTTTGAATCTAGATCAAAGACAGAGAATGAACTAGGTTAAACAGGTCTGTTCCCACAGCCTTTAACTTTGGGTCTGTGTATCATCACAGTGTCTTTGGGGGTATTGTCTGAGTGATCTGTATGACAATAGATCAGCTCACCAGCACAGTCTGCTTCACAGGGCTGAAATCGGACACTGCTGCTCTTGTCTTAATGTCCTGTATGATATCGTCTTTTTTCAGAAGCTTGTAAGGGCTTTCCCCTGTGACGTCCTCATCAGCAAGGCATCCAAAGAGCTTCTGGGTGGCTGATGTCAGGACCATGGGGAAAATATCGTCAGGGTGACCTTTTGGGAGAGAGATCACGATCAATACAGACAAGAAAGTTGGCAGACAGACTGCTCTCAAAATCTACGGGTGTTTCAGCAAAGCAACTCCTTGGTATATCAAAACAGAAAAAAACTCTAAAGATTATGTTATTGGTCTTTGTCAGTATTGGAGGACAGAGGAGTCAGCATGATGTTTACAAAAAATTATAAATGGCTTGAATTTATATTGTTCTTTTCGAGTCTTTGATAACTCAAAGAACTTTCACAGTAAACACTGAAGGTAGAGGTTGCAATGTAAATAGCCCAAGTGCACGTGGCCTGTAGAAGCTTCGGATTGAACAGCAAACCTTTCGATTGAGAGACGACCGACTCTAACACTGAGCCACAGCTGAAGCCGAATTAACAGTAAAGATGTACTATGTCAAGAACAAATAAATATGAGATACTAGCACAAGTCAGCCTTTGTGGCACTGTATTGCCTCTTCCCACAGGAAAACCACCCTTCAGAACTTGTCATCACATTTTTTTGCTCTGGAGGGCTCTGTTTTTCTATAGCATAAGGCATTAAAGAAGCCTCTTCTTTGTATTTATTTTCCAAACATCAGGGCATCAGGGGTAGCCACAACAAGTGTATATTATTATTATTACTATAACCTTAACCCTACTGAAAATGCCAAACATTATAATGTCCCTTAAGGCAAAGCTCCATGTCAGGCAGGGAAAAACAAAAACTAAAATACAGTTTCTAAACTATATTTATCTGGTAAGAAACAGTTGGAGAAAAACGTTATTCAAACTTCTGTAAAGGGATATCAGTAAACAAGACTGAAATAAATACAGGACCTCACTGCAGCAAGTGGTAATATATGAAACAGTGCTGAAAACAGAGATGAAAACATGATGAAAGGGAATGTGTAGATACCACAACTAAGAGCCATAAGCTCCCTTTTCAGATGACATTCACACAATGCACAAGCTAAAGTCACCATTGCCATTACGGACTTTGACACAGATTTGTGTCCCTTCTTTTTGGGATCAAACACAGAACAGCACCTCTGATCCTTCACCTGCCCCTCCCTACTGGGTGGACCACCCCACTATATCACTGAATGAAATGCAGTCCTTGTGAAAAGCCAAGATGGATAATGCTGCTGTATTTTCAAGTATACAGGCTGATCAATAATGCATGAATTCAAGAGTTAAACTGCTCAGTTACAGACATATTTCCAGTATTGTTACTATATACTACAGAGCTGCACCATCCCCACATAAACAATATCTGCAGTGTCCTCATCAAGGCTATAGGCTCCGTCCAGGGAACCCTACAGTAAACAAGGCCCAGCATAATGATAGTTTTCATCCTGCTTGAGGTCTCTCTCTTCAAAGTCTTTCCACAAGGTTGCAGAGGGGACGCTGGAATGCTTAAGTACAGCTTAAGTAACCACTTCCCAACTGGGTGTGTCAACCTTCCCCACTCGCACCACTTAGGCCTCACGCCAAATCATTGTAGTGGAAACTCACACCCCTCATTTCACACAGTTGAGTGTCAACTTTGGCATTTGTATTCATGGGAAATATTTGCTTGAGAGACAAAGAGAGTGTGATGTGCAATGTTCCATAAACCTAAAGAATGTAATTAAACTGCTCTTGCAGACTGCGCTGAAGAGATATTTTAAATTTGTCTGGCCTCTTTCCTGTAGCATACTCCACTGAAGGATTTTTATATTTCCATGAATACTGTAGTAAAATACTATTTTTATTTCTGTTTATACTAATTACAAATTTAGGCCTTGACAAAAAGCAATTATTAGCCTATAGGTTTACCTATGACTCTCATGCCCTTGAGACATCTATACAGGAGTAAAAATAACATGCATTCAATGCCGGCTCTCAAACAGACACAAAATCTGTGTTAATTTATTGTTCATTCACAAAATTTGTGTCATTTGTTGGCACAACATTTGTGTCAGAAAATGACAGAATAATCTGCAAGGTTATCTGGTAACAGCCTGGTTTGGGGTTATTTTTAGGGTCAGGTAAAGATTATGATCAATGAACGGGCGGGAAACCAGTTTTGACTCTTAAAACCCGTACTTTTAACTCCCACTGGAGCCAATAACCTAATGTGTAGGGGATGTTGGTGACCTGCATTTGACCAAAAGCACATTGACAGTAAATCATAACATGACAATTGGGACTGCCCCAGTTGAGCAGAAAGCATGCCCAAAGGCTATGCAACTTTACACTCAAGATCTCATCAGACGAATGCATTTCATTTCTCCTTCTCTTCAAAGACATCTCTGATGATCAGTTTCAGTCATGCTTGTTGCATCCCTACTTCAAAGTTACAGTTACTTGTGATTAAGCTGTCCTACTTTCGCCAAGAAAATAATTGATTATAAATGATGAGAAATGGTATTCAGCATTTTTAAAGGACCATGCCATATTAAATAAATTATGTAACGGATTGTAAATGGACTCTACCAGCAATCTTAAGTCAATATACTAAATGTGAAGCTTTAAGTGATTTAATTATTATTTTCATAATAATTTTCAAAAACAAAAGCCATACTTTACTATCTCTTCTTCAACATAGATAAACATGGATACATTTCCAAAATTGTGTTAAATGTTCTCTTACCAGTCTTTTCCGAAGGTTCAGGAGAATCAGCCTTTTTACCTGAGCAGAAAGTAAGAATTAGTTTTATTTGCGGTGTCTCTTTATTTGATCCTTCATTTATAAACATGCATTTATTTTCACATTAACAGTAAAAAGTATCTGGACACTCACCTTTGCTTTTCCCTTTATTGCCTGCACTGCTTTTTGCACTGCTTTTTGCACTGCTTTTTGCACTGCTTTTTGCACTTGCTGGTTTCTTTGGTGGCATATTTGCTCTCAGGATTATTCCACTGATGAGAAGAACATTGTTTATTTCAGAGTCTCCAAAACAACTTATGGTGTGACATTTCTCCTCACAAAACAACTACATTATACATTTGTGTTATCAACCTCCCCCCATTCTGTTTATTGAAACTGCAGGAGAAAAGCAATAGTGCCCAACAGTCTTTATCAATGAAAGTGGCGACATCTTGTGGAAGATAAGAGAATTGCCAATTTTGCCTTGTCTTGCAAAGGTTAACAGAATATGATAAAAACCCATCTTAGTTGAATGTATATCTAAAAATACAACATATACCATCCTAAAATCATATTATGTAGTTCAATGTGCCAAGGTTTAAGCATACCCAAAGAGGAAAAAGTTGGCAACAGGATTCAGAGGATAAGAACATCATGATAATGTTCAGGTAAGAGAATATAATCTACAATTATGCAAAAATGATTGCTATAACATATTATATATATTTTTTATTATTATTCTTTTTGAATATACTTTTTCTTTCTTAAGAAGTTTGAACTAATTTGAAATATACTGTTAGTAAAGACTGAAGTCCCTTGCCTAAAGATGTTTTTGTTTACATAATTGCAGTGGTCGTATATAACTTGCCTAAAGATTCAAATTAATAATTACAACTCAGGAAGTTTGCCCCATTTAGACTGTACGTAACATCACTGAAGAAATAAAGGTTTTATGTTGTTGTTATTTTTCGGTGTTCACTTCATTTATTTATTTTTTACTACTTTTCAGAGTACTTTACAAACTACCAGGTAAGTTAATAAATAAATAAAAGTGTAGAAAGCTTACAAGCTATAAATAGATAGATGTAAAAATGTAGCAAAAAATGCACTTTCTATATGCGAAAGTAGCCAGAGGTGTAATAAAATAAAATAAAATAAAATAAAATAAAATAAAAATAAAATAAAATAAAATAAAATAAAATAAAATAAAATAAAATAAAATAAAACAAAAATAAAATAAAATAAAATAAAAAATAAAATTTAAACTAAACTAAACTAAACATCTAGACCGAGGCTTTACACAATTTATCTGCACCGGACAAGTAGTCACCTACAGTTTATTTTGAAAGCTAAAATCACAACACTATAATTAACCTGCTAACTAGCTAAACCATAGACTGTAAAAAAGAAGCTAAACTAGTGCTACCAATAATGTTTAAGGACCGCAGGCTAGCAGCTCTCGGTATAAAGTTTCTTATTTACATCGTACTTGCTACTCTTCGTCCAAAAACAAACAAACAAGGAAGTCCAACTAAAAGCGTTAAGCTTCAATAAAACACAGATAAGTAAAGTTTTACCTGAAGTGAAACCACGATAGCTGGAAATCCGCTCATCAGTTGGAATGTTTGGTTGCCAGTGGTAACGGAAGCCAGTTGATGGACAGCTCAGAGAGCCAATCGGGTTCCATGTTGAGGATTACGTCACAGAAATTAGAAGACGTTACCTGAGCCGTGTGAAAAAAACAGGTTGACGAACTCAGCCTTAACACGACACACACTCCGGAAGTTTTATCTAGAAAAATAACTTAACGACTTTACTTCAGCCGTCAAAAACAACTTATGTATGTAACTTATGGATTTTTATTAGATAAAGTGAGTTGGAGTCGACCCGTGAGAAGCAGACAACAGGTGGATCTAATTAATTGTTCATATACCTGGTGCGAGAGTTTGGTAAGTAGTAAACTTATATCCAGTTTCTTTCACTGTCGACTGTGACTGAAAGAAAATAAGCTTTACTCTTACATGATAAGTATTAAATATTTGATAGTTTGAGGTTTTGGTTGAAGCTGGTCAGGTGTCAACACGTGAGCTGCCGTTTATTATTCAACAAAGCTCAGGTACACCTGACTGTATTTCCTTCCTTCTCTCAGATTGTTGCTGGTCAATTCACCTTTGCTATGTGGGTAAAGATAATCCAGGTAGAGCCTCATACGGACTCTATTGCTTAGTTATGAAGTGTTAGTCACAAGTTTCTATAAGGGAACACAAGCAACTAAAACACAATGAGGACCTGTAACCATAACATGTCTCGGAAGTAGTTAAAAGTTCACAGGTAGTACATTACCACAACACTAAATGATTTCCTATAGCTCCTATATCCTATTTGAAGACTTGAATGTTCCACCTTTTATAGTTTCGTCATTGGGAGGCAAGTGTAGGCCTACTGGATATGAAAATAGTGAGTTTCTTTTTCCAGATTGTATATGAATATAAGAGCCAATATGAGTCCAAAACTACAGCATCAAGCTGAGTTCTGAAAAATGTTGATGCTAAAACAACAAAAACTTAAATTGAATTTGAAAAAAAGATGTGATTTTATTGCTTTATAGAAGTAAAACTTTAAATACTTTTGTGTCTGTTTTGCTTTATTGTTGCGACCAAGGCTGGATTTAGATTTTATTAATAATAATAATAATAATAATGTATTTATTTTCCTCACTCAGTGTTTTTTGAGATGCCATGTTTATTGTATATGAACCACACATATTTGACTGCAGATATGGAGGATTCCAGTGACCTGTATGATGAGTATGAGACAGATAATACCCCTCCGTGGGCAGACCACCAACATCAGTGTCTGGAGGATCAGGACAACGTGGAGTGTCTCAGAAGGAAGATCAAATATTTCTTCATGAATCCCTGTGAGAAGTACCACGCTCGTGGCCGGAAACCATGGAAACTCGTACTGCAGATCATCAAGATTGTCCTTATTACCGTCCAGGTGTTTATCTTTGACATGACCAGAACGGGTGTTAATATTGTTAATTGACTAAATTGATGCCAATTGTTTTTTCCCTTCTTCCTCTCAGTTGGTGTCTTTTGGGCTGAGCAACCAGATGGTTGTCACATTTAAAGAAGAAAATCTGATGACATTCAAGCACCTCTTCTTGAAAGATTATGTTGATGGAAGCAGTGATACATACGCTGTTTACAGACAGGACGATGTTTATGAATACATCGATTACATCATTGATAAGGTATTCAATTTCCTTTTTCTTTTACCAAAAGGACATGGTTTCTGTTGTGTCTGTTTATTTTGAGTATGAGATGCAGTAGATGTGTTTCTTTTTTGCTTTTGTGTGACTGTAAATCATTGTTGGATTGTTAGAGCTGTGCATGCTTATATACCCAAAGCCCTTAACAAGTTCCCATGACAAGATATAGCAGGTCATGGGATTGAACTTTGTCCATTTCCTTTTGAATCTTTCATTCCGTTTCATCTGTTTTCACTGCAGCTGTAGAATGACTTTCAATTTAGTCAGCCAATACCAGCCAAATGGGGTGTGCAGAAAAATAGTGAAGTACCAATTATTAAAGAAAATATACATGATTTGATCAAGCTAATGTATCCATAGAAAGTCAGCTGTCACACCTGAACACTACATGTTGCAGTGGGTGAGTGGAAACACAAAATGACATCACCTGTCTGTGTGGTTTTTTTCGTAGGGAGCAGCAGAGACTTATATTGTTGCATTTGTGTTCAAACTCACATTTAAAGGATTTTTCTTTTTTTACACAACACTTATTTCCGCATAAATCTTCCTTAACAACTATAGTGGTATTAAAAATATATTTATATGTTCATTAGCTTGCAAATGCAGAAGTCTAAACTGGGAGCCAAAAATAACTTAAAATTACTGATTTAAACTGATTGAAATAGTTAACTAGCTGAAAGGCTAAACGGTTTAAATGATTCTCTGAAAGTCAAGTATAAATGTTGAATATTTAGCTAAAAGAAATAGACAATAAATGGTTAAATATTTGTCTAAATGGAATGGACAAGTGGTTCAAAGAGGCAGTGACTTTTCTTTCAACTATGTATACTGAACATAATTTAAGTGAACTTCTTCAGTCTTTAACAATAGCAGGGTGTTGGTTAAATCATGGCGAGCTAAAACAAATGGAGAAACGGCTGAAACATTCTGCTTTACTCAAAGTGATAGTTGTTTTATGCTGACCAAACAATCTAAATCTTGACAATATCCACGTTTCATCCAGTCAGTTGTGTTTTTTTTATTTATTATAACATTACAAGTTGGACTTAATGATGCTGTTTTGAACTCTTTTAACACTTCTTTGTGGACACCTTAGGCCCAAAATAGTTTGTAACCATTGACTCAAACAGCCAAACTTGAGTTTATTTAATTTGTTTGTCTCTAGTACGGTCATCTGCACAACATCACAGTGGGCAATCACGAGTATGAGAAAAAGGGCTCTATCTACACCCCCATGACAGTGTGTCAGGAGTTTTACCTGAACGGTTCCATCCTTCCCAGCAATGACACCTTTGAAATAGATGTCAAAGTGGTGACTGGTATGTTTGAGTATAAAAAGACAGAATACATGCGACCGTTTTTTTCTGATTTGCAAAAAAAAAAAAAAAAAAATCAACATTACTTATTCAACATTGTTTTGTTGTAACTTACAGAGTGCCTTGAAGTGTCTCCGATGTATCACACCTCATTACAGGAGGGGTATCCACATTTTGAATTGCATTTCAAAAGGTTTGAACATCAATTTATTTTCCTAACTTGACTTTGTATTTTCTGTTATGTTCAGTGAATGCATCTGCTCTGTCTTCCAGGATGCTCACTGTAAAAATCACATTTGTTCTCAAGGCCATAAATCTACAGACAGTGAGACACCGAGAGCTTCCAGACTGCTACGACTTCACCGTTATTGTACGTCACTTGACTTCTCTCCATCAGCCAGTAAACACGAGCAGATCACATCAGACTTTATTTAAAACCTGTGATTACTTTATTGCTGGCTGCTATTCATCGTGAGACGACACCTGTTGAATTTAGAAATGTAAAGAGTCTGTGTTTATTAAATTAATCTACTTGAGTACACAAATCTTGGCAGTCCAAAACTGAATCTTTTGCACACAGTCAGCGTTTTACTTGAGGGCCTCACAAGTGAAGGTGTAGCTGTGAGGTTGTTTTCCTTTTTAAATAAACACCTCTCTTAAAAATGGCTTTCTGGTTAACAGATCACTTTTGACAACCAAGTTCACAGCGGCAGGATAAAGGTCGACCTGGAAAATGATGTAGACATCAATGAATGCAGAGACTGGAAAGTAACTGGAGCATGTGAGTTTGCTGAGCTGAATTGAGTGTGCATAAATGAATCGTCCGCATGGCTGCTGCTGTCGGAAGTTTACGACTCCGCTGCACAGTAAAACTTAAGATGTTTGTCCTTTTCCGATGACAGAAACTTAACTTCTCTGTGCTCTCAGCTGCCAGGAACATAAACCTGACCGTGCTGTTTGACTGCCTCATCATTGTAACCTGTATCACCTCCTTCGCCCTCTGCACACGCTCAGTGATCAATGGGATTCAGCTGCAGCTTGTAAGTAGGCAGAACTGAATATTTTTGCTGAGACGTGAGAAAAGGGTTCCGGTACATTTGTCTGTTCAATATGGTTCTTAATGCATGGAAGCAGCAGCACTCTAAGTTTCACTTAATGACCTTAAGGGGATTTAAATGATACATAAACAATGAAAAAGTGATTTTACAATAACATTACAATTTAATGCATGCAGCAGGTACTTGAGTTAAAATGTAAATGAAAAGCAAATAGGTTCTGACAAAGCTAAAAGCATGCTTTTAATGTTTGTTTTGGGTTAAGACGTCTTTTTCTCCATTAGACATTATAAACCTATAGAGAAATAATAACACACCCGTTACTTTGTCTGCTTTGTTATAAGATTTGCTCTCCATTTGACTTAATTCTTATACCTTGTTGCTGGAGGTTTTTCATTTGCTTCATGAGCTTCTGAACTCGGTGGATCTCTTTGTAGACCAGTAACTCATTTACAGAGATTAGTTTACAATTTCCCTCCATTTCTCTGTTTGAAACAGGAGTACACGTTGTACTGCAGGAAGAATATCGGTAAAGAAGTCCCTTTGTCAGATAAGCTGGAGTTTTTAAATGGTTGGTACATCCTGATCATCGTGAGCGACATGTTGTCCATCATCGGTTCCATTCTCAAGATAGAGATCCAGACTAAGGTAATGGGGATTGAAATATGACTAAGGGTAATGTCTCGAAACTGCAATGACCAAATGTGACATTTTTAATGATGCAGGTTTTTATTTTAGGTCCTCACAAGTTATGATATCTGCAGTATCCTCCTCGGGACGGGCACCATGTTAGTCTGGATCGGGGTCATCCGCTACATGGGCTACTTCAGGAAATATAATGTAAGTCCAGCTTGTTAATCAAATACAAAAAAAGAACATCCTTTAGTTTTGTGGATTTCACATGAAGTGCTGCACTAGAAGAATACCATTGTGTCATTTTTTTTTTTTTAATTATTTGTTTCACAGGAAGATTTTTTTTTTTTTGAACATACATTTGATGTTTATACATTTGTTTTGAAGGATTACAGGGCCGGGATCGAGTCATCAAAGGGCCTGATTGGCCCATGGGCTGCTGATTGAATAGATTTGTGTTGGATTTCATGCAGAATGTTTTTTGGTCTGTTTTCAGATTCTCATCCTGACACTCAGAGCAGCTTTTCCAAATGTAATCCGGTTCATCTGCTGCGCTGGAATCATCTACCTCAGTTACTGTTTCTGTGGCTGGATCGTCCTCGGCCCGTATCACGAGAAGGTGAGGCACGTTTTGTATTCTTTTTCTTGTTAGCTGGTTTCCCTTTCTTTTAATTACAATTCCTCATAAGACTGATAATTTCAGGAGTTAGTCATTAAGAACAGATATAAATAACCTCCCTTGTTTACCTTTTGTTTAGTTCCGGACCTTGAACACGGTGTCAGAGTGTCTGTTCTCCCTGATCAACGGAGACGACATGTATCCCACCTTTAAGAACATGAAGCAGAAGAGCAGCCTGGTGTGGGTTTTCAGCAGGGTCTATCTCTACAGCTTTGTCTCGCTCTTCATCTACATGATCCTCAGCCTCTTCATCACAATCATCACCGACACCTACGACACCATCAAGGTAACGTTAACTCTTAAATATGAATATCAAAATATGAATATCATCTTTTATTATCTCTCTCCCCCATCTGGTTTTAAAAGTTGATGTTGTGAGTGAATTTCCATCTAATGCTTCAGTGAAATGAGCAAAACAATCCTGTAGAAATTCAATAAAGTCCTGAATTCAACTCTAAACTTGTTAAGATTTACGTAAGTGTTGGGAGCAAATTTGAAAGCATTCAGTGTGGCGTATTACAGAATACTGTATACTCAAATGACTGAATGTTTAATGTGAGCATTATTGAATTTTAAAGCTGGTAAAATGAGATACATTTTAATAGCTTCTAGTTTTTAATGAACAAAAGCCAAATATTTACCTTTGTTAAGGCACAGTGTTGACTCTTTGTAAACGGTCACTTCCTTCCCCGTATCGTGTAGCAGCAGCAACAGAGTGGAACCCCGACGTCAGAGCTGCAGAAGTTCTTGTCGGTGTGTAAAGATCTGCCAAACTCCGGGTTGTACCGACTCAATGAGAACAGAGGCTGCTTCTTGGACTGCTGCATCAACAGGTAGCTCAAATGAAGCTCACTCAACCTGCCATGATCATTTTTACTCCGTCTGGAAGTCTGAAATCATTAGTTTCCTGACATCTTCTGCTTGTGTGTGATAATATCAGACATGAACTGTACAGTTACTTAATAAGCCGGAGGTGTAAGCTGAAACTTTTTAATACTCCAATATTGAGAAGATGTAACAAATAAGATCTAAGCTGAGCCATTTTCTCTTTTCAGGTTCAGGCGTCTTGAAGAGAGTCTGACTTCAGAGGCGTAGCAGGCAGTGCCGAGATGTTGAAAGAAGATACTGTATAAACTATAGTCCAACACTGATGAGCACTTTATACTTTTAATATTAAATGGGAGTTGTTAAAATTATTTTAACATGTGGCCTGAACTTAACTTGATTGATTTTAGTTTTTCATTGCTGGAGAAAAAAAAACCCTTGGTTTAGTGTGGTCTCAATATGATGCACCGGAGAGCACTTTTGTAAATACACACAAACTGTATATACACACAAGTAAATATTAAGAGGATAAACATCCGTCATTGAACATTTAAACTATGTCTTTTTCCAATGCGTGTCTGTTTGTGAGACACCCTTGTTGTACATTGTAGGAAATGAATTAAAACATGAATGTATTGTAAATTCAGGTGACTTTATTTTATTTCTCCTGTCAGAAGAAAGTCTCAATAAAAAAAGACTAAAATAACAACTCTCTTTTTCTCAGTCTTGTAAAAATATTGTGACAAAAAAATGGCAATAACTCCACCAATTAAAAAGGACTCCTTACTCTTTAAGTCAGATAGCAGATACTATAAATGTCTTCAAACGTCACCAGTGTCTTGGTGGATTTTAAAGATTTTTTGGTGTGTTAAGATCAATTCAAATCAACATATATACTGCTCCCAGAGACTAAAACATAATCCAAAATGGGCACAACAGCCCATTTAATGTTCCACAATTGGTGATAGCTTCATTGACCACTGTCCATCATTACCTTCGGTTGGGCATCTTTTAAGTTAAGTACTTTGATTCCAAACACAAACTACTTCAACATTGTAAGAGTGGCTTGATGCAAGCTTCCAGAGTAGGCAGGTGTCACTGGTAAAAATGTCTTATTAAAAACAGGCAGCTTGGCGCACCACCAACATGTGACAACCCAGAGTCAGTTATCAAACAATAAGAATCCAAATCCAAAATGTCCCATGATTTAACATCCATAATAACCAGTTCTCTATATTTTCAGACTTGAATTCCTTCTAATGTTCCTTTGCAATCTTTGACGTTTTGCAGGGATGTTGTCACAACAGCCCGAGAAGGCAGGAATCAAGAGTTCAAAAACTCTTGACAGCTTGGTTACTTCATCAGTTATCCTGAGACTTTGAAAACAAAATCCTAGGGAGTCAGTCTGGTTTGGTTTGTGTGACACCAGGGGGCGCGAAAACTCTCTGCTCCTCCATCCTGTTGGACTGGGAATGCAGGATCAGACTGAAAAAATCCTCATCGGGAACAGTTGAACCTTTATTTGCAGAAGGCGGTGCGGCACACCTCTGTTCGTTCAGCCTGGAGCCCTGACACAACAGAAGAGTCGGATTAGTAGATGCTTATCAAGAGCGGGTGAAGTTTGGCATTTGTAACCTTGTGTCCATAACTGATTCATGGTAACTTTTTTTAACCCTGGGTCTGCATTACATATTTTGGGAACTAAAAAAATATCTGAAACAAACATTTGGATTGGATAGGAATCCTTATTTAGACATTTATGACACAATCTGAAACTAATCTAATCTAAAACTAATTAACAGAAATGTGTTGATCAAACCTGAAGCAGGCACATAGTCTAGGGTAAAAGGCCAATTGTTTCCCATAATGCATTAAGCTTCTGCAGTCAGGGAGGAGCAGCTGCAGCCCCTCTGAACTGTCACGGCTTTTTAACGTGAGATTAAAACTATCGGTGTCAAATGTGATGCAATAGTGAGTCATGTTGATCGCCAGATTCAGCCAGTAAATACAAATGTTACAAGACAATGTTTAAACAATTATTTAAACCTCTTGATGAAATATGCTGGATTATCTTCTCTTACCTGGCACTTGACTAGCATGTCGAAGAAGACGTCGTCCCCCTCAGGCTGCTCAGCACTTGCCTCCAGGCGACTGTACAGGGAGGTTGTGTGCGTTTGTGGACTGGAGATTTGGGCTGGAGGAGAAATTGATCAAGCTATCAGCGGTAACACTAAGGGAGGAATGACAAAACCTGGACCGCCTTGCATTTCATTACCTTGGGGGTGGACCTGGTCGGTGCTGGAGGTGGAGGGTGTACGAGGCTGGTTGGAGGCGCTGAGTCGTAAGCCAGGAAAATGGCTCAAGCTCACTCTTTGGTCGTCCAGACGGCGGGCCTGGGAGCTGGCCAGCAGCTCCAGGAAATGACCAGGATCCTGCGAGGGTGTTGCGCACTCCAAAATAGCTAATGAACACAAAAAAATACTCATCGTCCGTGTAACTTTCATTCTATGAATTGCAGAGCAACTGAGTTGGTTCAAAAAATGGTTTCGTCTCATTCGTCTTGGAGCAAACGGTTATAATGATCATAGGAGAAATGTTCAAAGAAGCCACAAAACCCTCCATTAGTTCTAGTTTTTTTTTAAAAGCAATAGATTTTGGTGGATTGAATTCACATTGACGGTGTAATCACACGGTGGAAATCAATTACACCAAATGTCAAAGTGAAGACTTGAATATACACATCCTTGCTCCTTGCAGTGTTTCACATCAAGAACACATCTGGATCCACAACTTGAAATTAAAAAAAAAAAACAATCCCTGTGGGCCAATTAGCAGTGAGTCTTCCCCAAAAGTATTAGAGAATCAGAAATGTGACAAAACGTATGATATCGGTATTGTTTCAAAAAAAGCTTTAAAAAATATCAACATTTTGTCGTCCCCTTCAGCTGCTAGAGCAATCAGTGTGCAGAGACTACAAAAAAAAAAACTTGACAGCTTGGAGAAACACAAAGAGTGACTACATGTATCTGTTACTTTTTGGTACAAACCGAGGATAGGAGAAGCAAGGATGAGGAGTAATACCAGACAAGAAGGAAACACGGAGGATACATCACAAACACTTCACATGTAAAAGGACACATCAGTGGACATGCTGTATTCACACCACATAGATGGCATTAACCTCCTTCTTCTGAAAACTGAGAGGACACCACAGCAGGGTTTCCTTTAGCAAGTATTCCATTTCCCCTCTTATATTTCTCCATGAAAGATGAACGTTATAATGCTGCATATGGTGTGAACACAGATGGGAACACAGGGGGGCTGACTCACATTTCCTCTCAGCTATAGGTGGGGTGGAGGAGGGAGAGGAAGAGGAGTGGGCAGGGAGACTGCCCTGTCCATCCAGTAGGGAGCACCTTTGGTCATCCATTCTGTTGCCCTGGAAACGAGACAGCAGGTCGAAAAAGCCGTCTTCCCCGATAGTGTCCCGCGATCCAGGCTACAGTGTTAAAAAGAAAAGAGAACCAATTAATTAAAAACAGATCATTAAGGTTATCCAGAGAGCTGGCAGGCTGTTAATGAAAAACAAATCGAAAGACAGAAGAAATCAGTACGTACACACAGCATCAGTTTGTCACTTTAAAACACTTCTGTTATAAAAGATTTTTGGCTTAGGGCAACAACAAAATAAAATAAAAAAATTAACATTTTAAAGATAAAGATTCAGTTTTACACCCTTGACATTTGTTGGACATTTTGACACTTTTTTTCCTGACATTATGAAGACTATCTTTTAAGATTTACAAAATCTGAAGTCTGACATTGTCTGGATACATGCAAGTTAGAGAGGATGATTCAACATTTATAAACAAAACATTATTTCATACAGTCTTGCAATGGCATTTAGGTACTTTTAAACTTGGCCCAATTTTTACATATTTTTTTGGTTCACGGTAAAATAGCCTTGCATCTGCTAGAATTATACTGGATTACTTCTAGGGATGTGGGCATTTAGAGGAGTAAACAATTACACTTTATCACCCCCTGTAGTCACCCTAATCTGGCCTCATTAGTGGTTATTGCAGCTGCCCGCCACTAACCAGTCCAGGTAGACTAATGCTGAAGGCTGCTGGTGCTAACACTGTTAACGTTAGCAATTCTAGTGACATTGTGTACCCGCTGACAATTTGAAATAAATTGTGCTCAATGCTGACTGTTTTCTGAGTGTTTACCTTTAGACTAGTCGGTTAAACTGAATTAAATTTGAAATAGTTGCCTCTGAACATTCCTAATTAAATACAGAACGTTTGGCTCTTTTTGGTCATTGACGTGCAATAAATAAATAATAAGGGGGTCAAAGTTTTACAAATACGAGAATAACACCTGAAAACTTATACTGTATACATTTATTGCAGTGAGACTCTGCCAACGGACGCAAGTTTCCTACTTTTGTCTTGATGGAAAACCATAGATGACCATACATTTATTTTTAAGTTCTTGGATGTAACGAGAAAGAAAGCGTGTACACTGCAATTAGAATTACCTTAGAAGACACCGGGGCTTCCAGCTCGGGAGCCGAGTCCTCCGTGTGGTTCTCATGCTGCTCTTTGGGAGGTGATTTGATGCTTTTCTGCTTCTTGCTTTTCAACCGATGGAAGAGGAAGAGTTTAGTAGAAGCCTTGATTGTGTTGGATTTAGAAGACCCAGGATAAGAATCATCCTCCCAGTCCTGTACAATCGAGGACAAAAACACCTCCAGTTAGAAATGTCTACATCACTGATAGTACAACAAACAGCTGATTTATTTAAAAGACTTTCAGAGGAAGAGAGTGGGAGACGACATCAGGATCAGGGGTCATACCTGTGACCAGTGCAACATGCACTGTAGCCTCTGTACATGGGGCACCTGCTCTACCAACTAAGCTATGCTGGTGCCCAAAAACACAGCTGATTTAATTCACTTTGCATTTTAAAACCTTTCAAAATATATTCTTTCCACTCAATTTAGGAAAACTGTGCCTGCGGTTGAATATGCATCACTTTTAATGACTTTCAGTGTCAGAACTGCAGTCTGAAATAACCATATGAATCACACACAAAGAAATAGTTGTGTGATTTCTATGTCAAAAACAGATAGAAACATGCAAAACAAAGACTTCTGTTATTGTAGAAATCGTATTGCAATCGATTTAAAAACACACCAACACACTGCAAAGTTCACATTGTTGGTGTGTGTGAACTATTTCTACACATACTTGCTGTGCAGATGGATCTCCTGTTTGATTTTTGTCAGGACTTTGCCTCGGTTCAAGGTTCTCTGCAGACTTGACAGCTGAAACAAAAATACAAAATTCAACACTGTGTTCACATGTTACAACATTTATAGGGCACTTTCCCACCAGCAGGACCAAAAGTGAATCCAATGGGAGCTGCATGCAATGTGTTGTTGACAACAGTATTTTAACTTTCAGCAAAACTCATTGTGTGCGCCTTAAAGGTCTAAACAAACATGTACGGGCTTGCGGGCTTCGCGTCACTGTATTTACTGGCAGAACAGTCGGACACTATTAAAACTGTGTATTGCTTAACATGTGTGCTGCCATTAAGCATACAGCATTAAATAGAAAATGGGTCTTTTTTTTGAGACTTGAAAAACAATTTCAATTGCACCAGCAGTTTACATCTCAAAATGTGTGCATAAAGACTTCCAATCATCCGACTGTGTTTCCTGGTAAACAGGTGCCTTCAGATTTAATTACAAAGATTCAAAAGTTCAATGGCCACATGTTCCAAAATGGATTGAGTTAAGTGAAGGACTGTTTTTGTTGAGAGCGGGTTTACCTGGGTGATTTGAGAAACTGTGGCAGATTGCTGGCAGAGCTGAGCTGTTCATGTTTGTGTTACGGAAGACATTTGGATGAATGTTGGAGTTGGACTTCAGGCCTACGACCAGCCGCAGGTCAGACAAGTTCATCCTGGCTGTCACCTCCCCGCTTTTGTCTCCAGTCTGCAATAAGGACAACAACACGGTTCATAAACAAAGAAGCTTGAAGTGACAAAGACAAAACACACAATTTAACACTGGTTTTGTAGTTTTAACATCCAAAAATGCCTCCTTTTTCAGCACACATTCATTCATATGCTGCATACAAAGAATCCATTATTCCCTGCTGTTCCTTAAAGTACCACTAGATGGGGGTGTAGGCTGATGGAAGCTGGACCCTGAGGGAGGAGGTGAACTTAAACAGTCACCTCTTTGGCAATTTCCAGATGTTTCTCAGCGAAGTGCATTGCTTGCTCATGATTCCCCAGGGCGGTGTGGGCATTTCCTAGACTCCAGTACGCTCTTCCTTCACCGACTCTACAGAGAGACAGAGAGGGTGGGGGGGGGAACGGGCAGAGCAACTTCAGCTGAGATTATGCAAGAAATGGGAAGGGCAGTCATCATACTATCATTCAGTAAAATCCCCAAAACACAAATTTAGCGTGAGCTTGTCCTCATTTCACAACAACAGCAGATATTCAATTTAGGATTTATTATGGCCCGGCCTAAATCCTCTATTGTTTCATACAAGGGACACATATTCAAAGGGAGACTATTTGAAAGAGTAAATAACAAATTAAAGCGAAATACGACTATTATTAAATCTAATTTCTTTACCTTCAACATGACTTATAAAACAATATGACTGTGCAGGTTTATGGTAACACAAGTACATAGACTGCCCACATTAAGAATATAGCATTGCCTTCTTCACATGGATGTTGTAGAGTGGGAAACTATAGAAACTTTTTTTTAATCTGAAAAGTGGAAAATGTAAAGGCTTTATCAAATTCAGGGCTGACAGGCTTTACATTTTATGTTTTTGTTCACTGTTAAGCAACTTTTAAATGTATTTTAAGACTATTAAGGTTATCACAACATATGTTTTGGTAAGTTTTCCATTTCAGCAAAAACAGGCTTTATTGATGGTGTTTTTAAATGACATACTGTAGGTGTAACCCGAAACTCTTTTCCTTGACTTTTCAGTGTCTTTGCAGTTCACTACAGCTTCATGGGTGTTGGCAGTCACACCATGAAATCGGTGCAGGTAATTAGTTCATGGACCACCCACATACAGACTGTGCATGCTCATTATACTTCAAAAGGCAGCTCGGTGGACAGCCGACAACAAATGGCTTCTTTTTTTACGGCCGATACCTGTCGTTGAGGTCCTGAGCAATGACCAGATGTTTGAGGTGGTAATCGATGGCTCTCTCATAGTCCTGCAGTAGTGTGTAGGTGTTGCCTAAACTGTAGCAAGCCTGAGCCTCCACCGCTTTGTCCTTCAAAAGCCGGGCCAGCTGCAGAGTCCTCCTGAGGGCGAAAAACAGGAGAGGAGGAGGACAGTGAAAGAATGTGCAGGGTGGGAGCAGGAGAAGGATAGTTATCTGCTGTTGTCTTTGTTGCTTTTTTTTTTTTTTCTTCAGAGGACAATGTGTATCATTGAATTGCCGAAGTACAAAATGAAAAGCATTTTAATCTAACCGACGTGTGCTCCTCAAAACTACTATTGCACTTTAATGTTTCACTTTAAATCACATCCTTATATTTCATATTTATTAGAAGGTGTAGTAAGTTTTGTAATTTCCCTGAACATTACATGGACTGACATTAAATCTGCGAAACAGAGAGGTAATGAAAATAAAGAATTGTCAGCTAAACTCATAATCAGGAGGTGTGATGAACTAATTTCATAGTGGTGATCAACTAAGTGTAATCAGAGTGTTTCTTAGTTAAAGTTTTAGTGTTGTGTGTTGGTAGGTTAAAATAAAAACGATTCTCTCACCCAAACAATTTATAGAAAAAGCAAGAATACAGAAAAAAAAAGTTCAGGATCAATGTTAACACCGTGCTAAAATAAAAATATCAGCACTCTTTTTCTGTTTTCAAGCGTGATGATATCATAAAGAGACCAACAATAACCATCACAAGGTAAAAAAAAAAGGTCCACAAGCACCACTTGTTTACTCACTTGTAATGACCAGCAGCAACTTCAAATTGACTAAGGAATATGTGAGCGTTGCCAAGGTTACAGTGGGCCCTCCTCTCAGCAGATTTATCTCCAAACTCTTTAGCGATGAGCAGCCGCTGCCAAACATGAGGGATCACATTAAGATTAGGATTAACAGGAGATGTTTTGAGGTAATCGAGACAAACACAGCCTTTAGAATCATGGCATCTGACAAACAAATATGGTTGTAATCCTTCAATAAACGTGTCAGATATTAAGTTATCTTCTTACTTGTCGTTCAAAGCGTTCAATACGAGGAAGCTAAATCTGTTGGTAGAGCAGGTAGGTGGTACCTTTGACTTTCTGTGCAAATTTGCAACCTACCTTTTCATGTCCGGCCACGGCAGTTTCAAAGTCACCCAGCAGATAGTAAGTGTTGCCAAGGTTACCATAGGTACGCCCCTGTGCTGCCCGATCGCCTAATTCCTTCACCATGCACAGGTTTGCTCTTTTTAAAAAACAAAAAAGAACAAAGTAACACATTTAAACATGTTATCAAAACATGGTCACTAATTACTTATTAACAGGATTACTTTTAAACTCGAACAAACGGCCCAGAACAGTCAGACACAGACACAAACCCTTTATTAAAAAAATGCGCCAATAATTGTGCATTACTCGTACATCATAAATCAATTCACTTATTCTGAGTGCAGAAGCTAGTAAGTGGCTTAAACATCTCCACCTGGAAGACAATAAACTTAGATTTTAAATCACATTTGGCAAGAGAACCTCAAGTTAAGTAAATTACCTTCGAACTTAACATAATATATGCTGTCAATTGATTTTTTTTTCCATCGTCAGCATTTTCCTATTCACAGGTTGTACCGAGGGGAAATAGCAACATCATCAACGACTTTATTTTTGAGATCAGCTGTTCATTATTGGACTAACAGTAAGGAACAAATGAACAATGAGTACTGGAGAACTCCTCACCTAGATCAAGAAAATCTATAAACAAGCTAGCAGCAGCTTACTCTTTACACCCTCTTCACACCCTCCTGACTTCATGTGGCCCTCAAAGAAAAGCTCGAGTGTGAAGCACTGGTTTTGAATCTGAAATTCTATATTCAGTCATTCAGTAGTTTCTGCAGACACTTTGGTTGCTGATAACCTTGTGAAATTTCAAGCCGAAGGGTCAATTTTTGGACACCGTTTTTACGATTTTATCAGGCTTTCTACTGAAGCAGTTTATAATGTTTTTTAATGATGTTTGTACCACGGCGGTTCTGGCTTTTTATTTGACTTTATAGGGGGATGGGATACAGCCTTTTAACTGAAACATGACTACATCTTGTTGTGATGTCAGCTTCATATGATCTATTAAAACATCTGCATTAGTAAATCTGGTTTGTAGTCCGGTCAATTGTTGGACATCTTAACTGATTTTGTAAATCCTCAACCTGTAGGGGGTGGCCCCATTAAAAAGTAGGGCTATTGAGGGGATCATTACTGTCGCTCTTTGGTTGAAATACTCACACCTGTAAAGGGTTTTCATCAAAACTGCAAAAGGACAGTCAGTGTCCAGAGGAAAACAAAAAAAAAAAACCTACTCGTAGTACTTTGCAGCTTTCCTCAGGGCTGCCCTGGCCTCCTCAGAAAACTCTCCTGGCTCGGCTCCACTCCAGCAGATGTTCTTGCCCTTGGCGTGGTAAACGTTCCCGAAATTATACAGTGCTCGAGCTTGCCCAACCTACAGCAGATTTGAACAGACGGAAACCAGAGTGACCAGTGCTATAATTACATACTTAAAATACACTGACACCAGAACAGCTTGTTTGCATGCGGCTGGCAAACTATACCATTCATCGGGCATACCAAAACTGTCCTGTGGTTGCAGCGCATGTCATGCCGAGTGACGGAAAACTAATTTGGATCCATTTGATCTAATTAAAGCAATAAGGCCTTTTAGTTACTAACAAACGGGACCCACCTTATCGTAAATGGCTCTGGTGATGTCCAAATGTCTTTGGCAACAGACAACAGCTTCATCATACCGTCCTAAAAGTTTTAATGTGTTCCCAAGGTTGCCACTGGCTTTGGCCTCACCAAGCTCATCTCCAATAGTTCTATGATTATAAATGAGAAAAAAAAAACACATCAGGAAATCATTAGACTGCAATATTAGCAGATTACTGGAGTGTATTAGTACAAAAACACAAGAGGGAAGAAAGTAATAAAAGCCGCAAGCAGCAATACGGAAAGAGTCGAGACTAGCAATTAAATCATCGAGGGGGAAATGGTTATTAAAAAAGCTGAGCATTTGTTCAGAATAAATTGTAAGAGATTCATCTGGAGGAAAACTAGTTTGCATGGTTGCAAACTCAGGTCAAAGATCCCACGAGCAGGAAATAGGAAAGCTGTTCTATTAATATTAAAAAGATAATTCAGATTAATGCTGTGAAACTGTTAACCTGGTAAGTGTGAGGTCATGGCGATGGTACTCCAAGGCTTTTTGATACTCTTGTAGGTGAAAGTAGGCGTTGCCCAGCTGGCTGTAGATGGCACTAAGGATCTGGAGGTCCTCAGTCCCAACCTCGATGGCAGACTCAAAATAAGACACACCAGCACGGTAGTCACCAGCCTTACAGAGACGCTCACCCTCCAGAGCAAGGTCCAGACAAGATGACTCCATCCTGCGAAGAAGTGGGACATACATGAGAGGTGAGCTTTGAGTCCAAAAGTTATGATAAAGTGACAAACAATTGTCAACTTTTCCAAAAGTGTAGCAACTAACCAATATATTAAACATGGAAGTATCAGCTTGATTGAATTAACTGATGATCTTAGTCTAATCTATTGATTTAACACATGTTGCTCCTTCCAGTAGTCCAAAGGGAGCCATTCAAACATACCTTTTCTTGTCATATGATGAATGTAACTGTCCTAAATGTCACAAATCAGAGGTGGGAAAAAAATCGATTTATGTTAAAATCGAGATTCTTATCTTCTGAGATTTGAAGTAGATTCATAACTTCCAAAAATCTGTCACTCCCTGCTAAGTGCTAAGGCCAGCTATTTAACTTAGTAGAACGCTAAATGGAGCAGCAAGAAATTCAGCCAGTCTCACAGATGACTGGAGTAGATCCTGAAGTATGTACTAATTCAAAAATAGACTCTGAATCCATGAATCCAGAAACGTTTTGAATCGAATCGTGACGCCAAAAATTGAAAACGAAACTTGAGACGCCCAAAGATTCCCAGTCCTAGTCACAATGCAGACAGTGGTGGAAACAAAGACCTGGAAATTATTTTAATGTAGAGCAATGGGGGGTGGACCACAAGGACGTTTTCTGTGTTTAATCCTCAACAATGCACAGTTAGATCCCTTGAATGAACGATAACTCAGCATATACATGAAACTTTCTGTAGGGAACCTTTCTAAGTCTTGGCACGTTCACAAACAAAAGGGAACAGAAACAGCAGAAAGAAGTCAAAGACCCTGTGAGACATGGCACAAGAACTATAAATCTAAAATAGGACGGAGCATTTCCTGTCTGTGGGGAGCACGAGAGCGCAAAAATAACCCTGGAACAAAAGTATGCGTCTTACATTTCACCACGAACACACAGTCAACTCCGATGTGTCTGTGGTAAGGATTACCATATATAACTTCCACACTCATCCTACACAAGAAATCACCCCTTGTTGAATTGTGTGATCGCTTAGTTTCAGGTTACATCAAAACAAAAAGGTACTTGCCAACCAATTGGGATTAGACATGTTGCTTTGTGAGGGTTGTGTGAGTCCTCGGAGCCATAATACTGGGTCACTCAGGGGATGAAAAGTCAGCTCAGAACAGACAGACAGCATCTCCTCCCACTCTGTCTGCTGAACCCCAAACAAACCCTAACAACCCTTTAGGAAATTGATCGTTAGAGTTAAGCTCTGCAGCTCCCTGCAAATAACTCAAGACAAACTATGTTTCATTTGCTGCAGGACTTGTTTACCCATGATCCCATTGGTGATTACATGTGAGTGAATAAATGATTGACAAATTAAAGCAAACAAATTGTACAGTCGTCGTTACATGTTTGCGTTCAGTTAAGTTCGATTAGCCTGAAATACCAACCAATACCATGTGGGCTCGACTCCCATTGTGTAGAAATAAAAAGGCTTAAGTGAGATGAACAGACTGATGTTTTCTTATTTGACAACACAGGTCTTAATTTAGTTTAATTTTGTGGACATAAGCAGTTTAAAAAGTTCAATCACAATATATTGTATCCAATTCTCAGCTGATCGCAAAATGTTTAAAATCGCACTAAAATCCAATCGTGATTCAAAAATATCGTATTTGAGGACTCTGATGATTCCCACCCCTCATAATTAACATAATCAGTCCTCCCTGTTTCACCATCTTTGCTAATGTTGATGTACGACGAGTCAGTCTATGATCATATTTAGCTGTTAATGCTTACTTTTGCCGTCATTACTGACATTATAGCTATAATCTATCTTATTTATTGATGTTTCTCTGTTTGTCTCTATCCTTCTCCTTCTTTCTGCATCTCCCTCTATCCCACTTTCCAAGCCCAACACAGTTTAGACAGATGTCTGTTCATCATGTGTCTGGTTCTGTTTGAGGTTTCTGCCTTGTAAAAAGACAGTTTTTCTTTGCTGCTGTAACTTTGTTAAATGTTGCTTAGTGCTGTGCTCATGATGGGTTGATGTTGGGTTTTTGTAGATAATTTAACAAAGAGAAAGGTGTTTTACCTGCTCTTTGTAAAGCGTCTTAAGACAACATGTGTTATGACTTAACGCAATACAAATAAAGATTAATTGATTGAAAAAAAATGATAAATCTATGAGATGAAATGGCATCATCTGCAGGGGACACTTTGCAACAAGGCAGCTCTCATTATCTATCACTGGTTTCTTTACAAGCCCATCGCTGTTCCATTCACAAAACAAGATTTGAAGATGTTTGATGTCCAAGATCACAAACATCGGGGAGACTACAATCCTGCAATCCACATCAAGATTACGTCTGTGGACCTCTCACAAAACGGGAACATTTTGCCCGATATTCTGTTCAGAAACATCCTGGAAAAAAAAAAAAAAAGCGGAACAATCACAGGTTTGTAGTCCGGTGCAAGACCAAACCAGCAAACGCCAAGTCATCCTCTAGTGTACGGGCAGCATTAACTCACAGCTTAAGCTCCCTCCCCTCCATCCATCCGTAGTATCTGTACAAGTCTCAGAGGGAAGTAGTTAATGTCAGCTGGACAGCAGGGACTCTCAGTGAGAACTTCAAGTTGATCCTCAGACTTTAGAAACTTGTATTTCATGTTTGTTTCCGCACATCAAAATTACAGGCATGCTTTGACTTTGACTCCTTGGACAGGATAAGACTTCATGTACATATAGATGGATGTTCATCAATCTAACATTATTCAAAGACCCCCCCAAAAAAAAAAAATAAATAGCTTCTCCTCTTAGATTAACATGCTAGCTGGCATCTTCCAGAACAATTCATTACCTCGAGTTAATGTGAAGTGACATCCTGCTCACATACCTGCTGCCTTTCCCCATCGTGATGCACTTGAGACAGTTTGACACGACCGACATTTCAAGCTTCGCGAGCACCTTCTGGAGCAAACGCAGCTCTCTCAGAACAACACGCATTACCTTCTCTGCCGTCAAATCCATAAACATAATGCAGCCAGCCACAGTGTCCTGACTTCATAAAAAATAAAGAAAACATGGCTTCCTCAGGATCTGCAGCTGCTCCTCAGAGCGCTCTGCACACTTGTGTTAACAGCAACAACAAAAAAAAAAGAAAAAGGAGGACTTAATCCGCTCAGAGTTCACATTGACCTTTACAATCCGGCCAAGAGGTCTTTAGTTAAGGTGAATGCAGATTAACAGCCTGTTGTTACTATGCAGAAATGAACAGAGACACACAGAGAGAGAGAGAGAGAGAGTGTTTGGCTTGGTTGCCATGTTTAGCTGATTGCCTTTTTTCTTCACTGCTTAGCATTTGCTAACCTGCATCTCTAAGCACCTTGATGATGTGTGTCACTTCCAATTAGGCCAGACCTCAGAGGTAATTATAGCCTCTTTAAGTGGCTCTAGTGAACCTTAAGGCTATTTGCTCCACACTCCATGAAATAATCATTCAGCGGCAGGCTGCCAGGACGGGAAGGAGCTCTACTCTTAACCCCTCAAATATAATGAACCTCTGTACGGATTTTTATGTAAATGAGATGGGTTATTCATTGTATGATTTCTATTATTCTCAGTCATCTCCTGGGGCAGATTCCACAGAGACAGTATAATAATGCATCGGAAAAAGGAAGCAAGAAATTAATTTACACAGCAACTTCTCAAAAGTTTCTGGGAACTCAGCTGTGGCCGATACGTCTGGAACAATGCTTTTGAAAGGGGGTGAAAATATGTTGCATCACTATTGGTTTTAGCACAAGGATCAGAATAAGGCATGTGACATTAAAGCTGAAACCTAAGTTGGCCAAAAGCCAGAGCCATCATTAAAAAGGCGACAGGCCTTTTTCCTAGACCAAAGACCTCCGGCTTGCTGAATCAGAGACATCAATAACCATTTCTCAAATTTATACTGTTCATATTTGTCCCGGCAGCAGAAACCAGGATCTCGAGTAGACGGAGCTAACAAACCTTCAGCGAGGTGATCGGGCCTTACTACCACTTGGCGTCCCTGACATCCAGCCACCACCATCGGACTGTATCGTCCCTACAAACCAACGCCATCCTCGTTTGTGCACGGCCTGCTCCGACCTTAGCGGCAAGAAAGTGTGGACAACAGGAAGGCGAGGAATACAAAGGAGAAATCCTTCCCATTTTTCTTTGGTAACATAGAAATGAGTAACGTCTTCTACCTGCTCTTTTGTTATATTAAATTACAAAGAGTAAGGTCTTGATAAAATTTGTTGTGAATTGGCGCTGTAGAAATAATGATTGATTTAATTTGTCAAGTTTGTCCTTGATGAAAAAAAAAGATATATTTTCCTGCTTTGTCTTATTTGGAAACGTTACAGCCGTTAGTTAAAGACTAGACCAGCTGGTTATCAGATTGTGTGAACAACCTGCAGGCTAGACAGTTATCCGTCACTGGATTTGTAAAGTGGAATTCAGTCAGAGAGAAAAGTGCCAGTTTTGCACTGACTTGATGAGTCTTGTCCTTAATACCAACCATTACAATGGGATGATGCAATATACGGCAAAAACAATGACAACATAACCTGCAAAGTGCAATCCCAATGTAATGCTCCCACACTTGTTTCAGGCGTGCCATAAGAAAACCACGGTGCTGTTGTTGAGGACCTCATGTTGTCTGTTCAACCTTCATCAGTTAGTCAGAGAGGTTGAGAGATGAGATTTTGCAAGTTGGTAAATATGGGACATCATTGTTACTTGCAGCTCTAATATGACGCACGCAACTTTGTGAACTTTTATTCACACTAATAGTATGCAGCAGTGATCTAAAATTCTGAAATGATAAAAACACACTGCATCATCATGAATGTGATACCTAACACATCAGACGCTGACTATACAGCTCTGCTGGACACAAAAGAAATGCTCCCTGTCCTGATCGCAGTGCAGAGAAGAGCTGTCCAACCAGGAGCCTGAGCTAACACGGCCACAGAGCGACCCACATGGTGGATCCCTGACAACTAACAGGCTTAATGTAGAAACAAGTCATTAAAAGCCAAAGCCCCGATGACTCTGCACACTAACACACAACAAAGTAGTTTGGAAAAGGCTGAACAATGCCAAGCCTGGTTTTCTATCTGACAACGTGAGAATTCAGGCGTCATACTGTCTCTGTCTGAACCACCTCTTATCTTGAAACTGGAGCTGAGAAGCAGCAGTGAAGACTCAATGTCACTCACTGTCATGTGATCACAAGAGCCCCCCCCCCCCCCTTAACTCAGTCATTCTTAACTCAAACAAAAGTCATTATGGGGGGGGGGGGGATTACACATGCGATGCTTACAATTTAAATGTCAAGTCCTGATGTTACAAGTTTTTTCTGTGATTTGTTTGATGCAGTCAGGAGAAAACACAAGTCGTTCAATAGAGACTTGATTGGTAACTTGTTCTGATATTGTGTTAGTGATTAAAGGAACTATTTCTGGGCCTTAAAAAACAACCCTTTTGCAGATTTTCTTAATGCACTTTTAACTGGAAATTTGTAGACTTGAAAATGCTTGTAAAATAACAAAATGTTTATAATACAAGTACAACTTTGCATTTTATAGACTAAGCAGTTTTTTTTTTTAAATAAATTAATTTCACTTTTTAAGGCCTAAAAGATAAATTGAGAAAACCATTGCCAGATTATTCCATAATGAGGAGTATCTCTTTGTAGTTTCTTTAAGATATATTATTTAACTTTAACAATAAGAAAAAGACAGAAACATTTAAGGCCACGGGTGTTCAGGGTAACACTTCTGATACAGTATTCAGGTCATCTGTTCGCTGTAGTCTGCGTGCAAACAGAAACCCTCACTAGCATTGTCGACCTACTTTTTTTTTTTTTTTTTTAAACAAAGCAAAAATTATTAATCCTACCTGAGCCAAATTTCTCCAACCATGTAAAAAAAAACAACAGAAACTTCCAACAGACAGTGTTACGTTTTATCTACTCTGCCAACCACCCGTTGTGGCGGTCACGTGACCACTGTGAGCTATTTGTTTTGATCTCCTCTGCACATACCGCTGCACTGGCCCGTACCGGACTCGTTTGCCTCCCTGACAGCTTCAATGAGTCTATTATCCTATGACCTCATTCACTGGCTGAAGTGTTTTCACCCAAATAACTCTAGCTGACTGTGTGATTTTTGATGGATTGCATCATTCTCTGCAGACTCTAGACAGTGTAAGTGTGCAGAGATGCACAGGGTGCAGCTGTTACTGATGCAGAGACCACAATGTCTGGCAGCAACTACACCATGTTCAAAGTCACTGCAGCTCTATGTAGTACATGGCAAATGCTATCTTCATGCTTTAAACCAACCTGCAATGTCTACACTGTGGTGGGTTGTAGCTTATTTTCAATTACTGACTGAACTTTTGAGTAATATTAAGAAGCACTAGAGGTCAAGCTTACAAGGAAGTGTAAAAACAAGACTAAGATTACACCTTTTTATCACAACTAGCCAGAACCAAGCGACTTCTTCATCTCTTCTTGTTTCCAACAAACAGTCAAAAACCAAGACTCTTCATTTAACACCGTAATGGACAACTAAGTTAAACAAATCTGTACAATTACGAAAGCTTTAACCGGCAAATGTTGAACTGTTTTGCTGAAGAAATGACTGAAACAATTATTCTGCTATCAGGATTTTTTTTGTTATGTTTCTATCAATCTATTTCATTAATCATCAAATTATCCAACTCAAGATACGGAGGGGCAGACGTACTTCCCTTCTATCTAAATGAAACCAACTGCAGTGTAGAATTGCATTGAATGGAAGAACCAAGAATGTAAATCAATGAATCACGTTTTTTTGCATTTGCTGCTATCAGAAGTCTTCAGGCATTCAGCAGATTTCTATTTGCTTCAATTCAGCGGCCTTCAACTGATACGACACAGTATACACACATTTAGAATAAATTGGGTAATTGCGATTGTCATTTTCATACTTGTACTTTGCATCAAGTTGGATGGATGCTGCTAACTTAATGAGAAACAGGACCAACAGTGTGTTCATTTTAGCAAATTGGACTAAACACCTGAAAGTGTATCAGCGCTGTTGATTTACCTTCCTATAATAAGAGAATGATTACTATTGTTACGAAAACGACACATTTAAAGTTGTTTTAAGGATGCTATAATTGCCCTGTCTTACAGCTATCTAGTCAGTTATTTCATCTGTTCATAATAAATAGGGCCCATTGAATGTGGCATCCCAAACCCAAACCATTTCAGTACGAATACACCCATCCAGACTCTAAAATTAACTGATGCTCTCAAAAGTGATAACCATCTTTATTTTTGTCGAAAGCTTAAGAGAAACCACGATTCGTGACTCAGCCCTAATCCTGCACGGCCAAAGAGGTCACAGGCACATTTAAAATTTAAAAAAAACTGTGCTGCAACACCATCAGTGCAGGATATACTCTGTAATCATAGTGTTAGTGAACAAGAGGGTGAAGGAGCATTACAAACTGCTGAAACAAGCAGCAGTGTAAGTAAATGAGCAAGAAAACAGATAATATGTTCAAAGTGTAAGTTCTGCATTCAAAGCATTACTTTAGTAAAAGTTCTTAACATAGACATTACTGCACATAAAAAGCCACCATTAAAGAGAAAGGCACATCTCAAAATATGTTGGAATTTGATTGTTTTATCTGAATGTTCATCACTTAGTGCAGCTTGTAAAGTTCAAGGTAATAACTTTTCTCCATAAAAACAATGTTGTGTTTAAATACATTCTGTTAAGTACTAAGCTACATTTGCATAGTTAACTTGGGTTTTAAAGAGGATAGAAATACTCAGACTCAAGTGAAGTGAGGCAGGACTTTATCTGAGAAGTTATTTTCAACCAATGAAAAAAAAAGAGGTGCAGAAAAGCAACTCAATTAATAAAGAAAATGCACTTTTTGTCAGCTAGAACTATCTACTGATGGAAAAATAGGGAAGCTGTTATTATTTTCGAGTCTCGGTATGACTATGACACAAACCCTGTGAGTGTGTGGGAAACTATGAACCAGAAAAGCTGGAAATTAGTCGGTTTAGGAGGAACATGCCATCACATGCTCGCTGTCTGACTGGACGGCCTCTAAATAAATTTTTTAAAAAGGTGACATTACAGTGACACGGATAATATGAAGATGTAATAAATGCATATAGAAGCTTTGCAGAGAGCAAAATAAAAATAACTTTCAGTCAAAAAAAAAATGGAGCAAGGCAGCAGGACTTTTGGCAAAACTTTTTAAGGTACTTTTTCCCCCTCCCCAACTTACCTCAAACTGAAGAGCTTGAATTCATCACAAAAAAAAAGTTTGAGCCAAGAAAATATTGTCAGCGAGCAGAAACCTTTCAAACTAATCGCGTTGTTTATTCTTTGTTGTTTGTACTTCCAGCTGGGAGGAAGATGTGTCCGTCCTGTGAAGCAGTAGTTGAAGAAGCCCCTCCCCTCGCTGAAAATCTGCCTCCAATTAGGATTCCACGGTTGCTGCCTTCAGGTACCATCGGAAAAACTCGCATCGCCTCATACGCGAAAACGATCGCCCGATTGCATCGAGGCCTTCATAAATAATTCGACATTAAATGCGACGTTTAGTGGCGGAAGAAAGTCTAGGGGTTACCATTTAATAGATTTAATGTGTTTGCACATCATATTTTTAAACCGAAACATGTACCAAGTGATTTAAATGTCCAACCTCCGTAGTCACGTTGAAGATCTCTTACGCCCCCTGCCGCACGAAGTGGTTATTCGCGTCTTAATTTTTTTTTATCTACACAAGATCCTAAATAAATAAAATATTCAAATAGCTTTTAAAAAACGGGGCTCAGGATGTTAACAAGTAGAAAGATTTCTGAGAAATGTAGGGAAGGGAAATTCTGAGAGATGCTCAAAAGCAAACGTGGGATTTCAATTAAAAAAATTAAAAAAATGTTGAAATTGACACCTTTAGCAAAAAGTATGTCGTTAAAAAGCGCCCAATAGACTTGCTATACATATTATGATATTTTATTTTCAAGCTTAAACTATAGCCTATCAACATTCCTTTTTTATAATCTGGTAATCATTTTTGATATCTGGGCATGTAAGAATGCTGCACCCCAAGAATTCAATATAAAAACAACCATATACTGACTTAACTTGACCAATATCTCTCGTCCAAACTGGGGTTTTATGAACCATAAACTTGGTGCTAAATCAGGGTCTGGATTGATGGCGACTGTTCAGAAATATGAGGATAAAGACAAGATGTTTAACCCTTATTTCCTCAGGGCATTCACGTTTCTGTTGATATCAGATTTAATATCCTTGGGTTTAATAGCAATCATAGAAGTTTGGTGAGTAAATGACCGCCAGTGCAACATAACAGCAGAACCACTGCCTCTTCCACAATGTTCCTGAGTGTTTTTTATATCTTTTTAAACTCATCAGTCAAACCCTCTGTCCTCCCTGTCAATAGTGTGTTCTCTGCTGCCCCTGAAGGAGTTTCCACTGTCCTTTAAATGAAGACAGACTGCAGAGTCTGTCTCTACCTGTGGGGTTTGCTCTGTCTTGGCAGTGTTTCACCTGATGAATAGCTCTCTGGGTTTGCCACTGCTGCAAACTGCAACACTTCTCTGCGTACGTCTGGTCAGTCTATTTTATAGAGGGCAAGTTTTTTGTCTATAGGTGGGTTTGACAAACACAAGGCTGCGTGTTTATTGAAGAGCAGACTCCAGTGACACACAGAGACGACTTATTGCATCACCACTTCCCTCCCTTGTGTCGGTCTGCTCTTTCTAATAGCTCCAGCATATGTTGACAAACCCCAACTTTGGGTTACTTGCAAGCTTTTAAAGCCTTCATGAGATGTTTGCACTAGTCTCTTGCCTCAGTGTTATTTGGCAGAGTGTCTTCCCTGTGGTGAAGGGTCCTATTAAACCTTGATTTCCTCTTCTTCACTGGACATCTGTGCACAGCTGCCTCTAGTCAAGTGTGTTCAGTGACCGCTTGTTTGTGTTGCTGCTTATTTACAACTATTTACATCCCTTTAGAGGGATTTTTGCCTTTTATAACACTCAACACTTTGTGTGTGATTGCAACATGTTTCTCAACTTAGTTTACTGATAATGTTAGGGTAGGGTATGTTTAACAAACAGTTTAATAGATGTAGCCATAATTCTGTTTGCTATAACGCTTTTTAATGAACTGATGAATTGTTAAAACTATACAATTTTCGTAAATATTTTAAAATGCGTGCATATTAACTGTATTTTTTTTTTAAAACACTCACACGTTCAAAGATCTTCTATTTAGAAAAATAACAGGATAAATAAAAACCCTCTCAATCATGAAGCTTTCATTAGCACACGTTTGGCATTTTTTATTTCATAAACAACTTGAAATTAGGGATTTCATTTTTTTTTTGGATTCACAAAACATTTCACTTCTGTAATAGCCTATCAAGCATTAAACCACTGTTAGCCTGAGTATAGGCCTAGATGAAAAAGATTTATTCAGCAGTTTAAATATTTGAAGCCTTTTTCAGATACACAATGGTTTTAGCTTTGCCTGCTTTGACAGCAGCACTAGATGCAGCAGAGAGGCAATTTGAGGTTCCAGGAAAAGCAGAAAGCATTTCTCTCATTAGCAAAAAATTATTACGAGCCTCCGGCGAGCAGACAGAGGAGCGGTTTATCGGCCACCCACTCACTTTATAAATCAAACATGAACAGACTGATTCTTAAACTGTGGTGTATCGAGAAGGACCGGGACAGGAGCGGAAAGGAGAAGGCCCACTGGGGAAATCAGACAGGAAGAAGGGGTTGTGAGCAGGCGACAGCTCCATCAGGGCCTGACGTTTCTTGCGGTCACGCCTCTGATAGCGGAAGTTAAAGGGAGGTCGCAGAGCCACAGGACCTCCGAACTCCTCAGAGGAAGAATCAGAGCGACTTCCGGCAAGAGGCTGCCTTTGCTGGTTAACTAGATCTTCAGCAGACTCACTGGAGGACGAGCTGAGAGGGTTGGAGGGGTAAACCACAATAGGGGGCTCAGAGGGCACGGGGAGAAAGGGTGTGGGGTCAAATGGCGGTGGTTCAACAATAGGGGGCATTATGGGATCAGAGGGAACAGGCTCCGGATAAATGATCGGGTCATCGATCACAGGCGGGAAGGTCGGGATCACAGGGTCCAAGGGAAGGTCGTGACCCTGAGGCTGCACTGGTCTGAGGAAGTCCACATTCTGCAGACGAAGAGACAAAGTCTTATTTCACAAACAGCCAAAAAAAAATGCCTGTCAAGCAATATTTCATGACAAACAGCAGCTCTGAAAAGTGAGATGACAACATAATTATAGCACGGAAAACATACAATTTTAAATCTCAAACATACATTGAAACACACACAAGCACAGCCTTCATTTAAACACAGCAGACATGACAGTATAATCACATGGCCAGTGGCATTCCTTCACAAAGGTTAATCATCATTTAAAAAGCTTCTGTAGACTGTAGAACAACCAGCGCATAAAACATTAATTATCTAAGTTATGTGCAGGTAACTATATATTTACATTGCATTCTTTCCAACAGCCAGCAGGGGGAGACTCCACTAATTCTATAAAGGTAATTATGAAGTTTATATTAAAGTTACCCTCCTTATAACTACTATTTTCTAACTACTAAAATTATTACCTGCATAAATATTTTTCTAACAAGTTTACGGTCTCAATCACTTTTTCAATACAGATTCATGATCATTTTTAAATTATCCAATTTAAAGAGGACATATTATACCCCCTTCTCCACCTTTTCAAACAGTCCCCCTGTGGTCTGAATGAAACATCTGTGCTGTGCTTTGGTCAAAATATAACATGAATCAAGCACCAGAGGAGGTTTGTGACCCTGTATAAACCAGCTCTCTCAGAACGCTCCGTTTTGGTGTGTGTGTCTCTTTAAATGCAATGAACCACCCTGAGTTTTCCCTGTAGACATCACTCCTCTGTAGCGAGAATAAAAATGGCGGACCTGCGCAAAAGTTTTGATCAAGGCTGGTGGTGGAGTCCATGGGTGGAGATATCAGGGGAGGGGAGGGGATTTTCTTTTACCAGAATCCCACTGTGACATCACAAGGAGAGCAAATTTGAAACAGAGCATTTTTCTCTGTGTTTTAAGACTTATGCAGACCACAAACAAAGGACTGGATGGGTTTATTTCACATTTTGTGGGTTGGTAGACACTCAGGTTACCTAAATATATGTTCAAAAACACTGTAGAAGTGGATTTTTCATAATATATCTCCTTTAGAGTAAAACAAACGATAAAGGGGGGGACATGTGTCTGTCTTGTCTTTGAACAGCTGAAACCACAGGGGACCTCACATTCAGGAAAGAGGCATAGCAATGTGTACATTTCCATTTCTGGCTCCAAAAACAACATCAAAAGTCAAAATGTAAATGCTGAATGGACTTGCATAGAGCGTTTATAGTTATCTGAACACATAATGTGCGTCAGGCTTCAAAACAGTTTACGGTCTACAAACCAATGGGTGTCATCATCGTGACTAAAGCTCTTTTTTTTAAAGTGCAGTCCCTGAAAGCAGGATCTGACACTCCATGGTACATTTCCTTCATTTTTGCACTATATGCTTTACATCTTTATATACACTTGAATGTTGTTTTTGAGGTGCATGTTTTTTCAGCTATGATTGCTGTACCTCTGCAGCTGTTTTCTGTATTTTCATGTAATTTCATGCTTTACAGAATATGACAAAGGAAAACAGAAATTAATATTTTTTTGCTCATTTAGTCCAAATTGAAATGTGGGTACAAGATGCCCAACAATTACTATTTGTATTGTTTTACGTTTGTCAGCAACGAACAACAAAACCCTGAAAACAAACACATCAGCAGCATATTGATACTTGATGGAGGTTTTACTTTATTTAAAGTTTGCTTGCTTTTAATCTTAATATTGGACTAATGGATAATGGACTTTTTGATTATTACCTGGATTGGATATGAGAGACAGGAAATGATTGCAGTAGAGAGTGTGGGATGGCATGCAGTAAAAAGGCAACAGCCTCTGTATGGTGCCCCATCATGGACATTTTTAATTTCAAATATTATACTACTTCCTGTACCTGTACTTTGTACATCTCACAGGACACCTGGACTTCAGGATAGGCACTGTAATCACCGCGCACGGATCCCGCACAGAAACCTGCAGTCTGAGAGAAGAAGGAGAGACGCTTTAACTTCTTTTTTTTCCCCCAAGGTAAATGCCAGAAAAAAGCAGCAGGATGAAACAGAAATGGTCAAAAACATTTAAATAAATAAATAACAAAAACAATATAAATAAAAAGATATGAGGAACTGTCAAGAAGAACCAATTAC